TCCTGTGTAAGCTGTCAGAAATCTAAGGTCATAAGACACAACACATGTTCCTTAGGCTCTTTCAAAACCCCTGTCGCTTGTTTCGACCACGTCCATCTAGATTTGTGATATGCTTGAACTAAATCGATTCCGCGGTAAAGAACGAAGGCCAATGACACAATGACACGATAAGCTATTCTAATTTGTTGTCCCAGGCCCCGCTAACTAGATGAAGAAGTCCAAGGCAAGTAGGGGAAAATATATGTATTCCGTAAGCAGCCGAGTACAAGCAATCGAATAAGGGGAAAAGTTAAGCGCATTTATACAGCAACAATTTGTCCTTGAGCATCATTAGTAAATAGCACACACAAAGAAACAATGGACCAATAACGTATAAGATAGTTTACAAGTGGGAAATATGACGTGAAGGTAAAAAGAGCGCGTTTGGCGCGAAAACAGCTAAATTCAACTTTCCAAAATGAAATTACAAAACTAAGTCATTTACCCAGTAAGTTCTGGGGATTTGACATCCCCAATAATTTGGTAGGACCCTTACCCGACTCAAACGGATACTCTTATCTCTTAACATGCGTAGACCGTTTTACTCGATGTCCAGAAGCAGTACCTATTAAGGACATTACTGATGAAACAGTGGCTCGCGCTTTCGTCGAACGATGGGCAGCAAATTTCGGCTGCCCTTCCACGATCCCTACAGACCGCGGACGCCAGTTCGAATCTGGACTTTTTCGTTGTCTGATCACACTATTAGGAATCACTCGCTTCCGAACGACCGCCTACCAACCACAAACAAACGGGTCGGTAGAACGTTTTCATCGTCAACTTAAAGCTTCACTATCAGCTACAAACGTTTCACAGTGGACAGACGCTCTTCCACTCGTCTTGCTAGGAATCCGCAATGCAGTGAAAGCTGACATTGGATACACTGCATCTCAACTTGTTTATGGAACGACACTCCGACTCCCAGGGGAATTCGTGGATCCCTCGTCTTCTTCATTGAACATGGATCTAAACTGTCACACGAGCAGGCTTACAAACGCAATGCGTTCAGTTAAACCTGCTCACACTCGACCTCAATCAACTGATGTTTTCGTTCAACTTGAATTACGACATAGTACACACATTTTCGTTCGTCGAGACTCACATCGGCGACCACTCTAATCAGCATGCGAAGGACCCTTCGTAATTCTTCAACGTGAACCCAAGTACTATGTAGTCGATAAGAACGGCACGAACGATAGCATCAGTATCGACCGCCTCAAAGCAGTGTACTTAGAAGGAAACCCTAGCTACGTCGAATTTCTATGGTGATCAGAAGTATTTGAATTGTAGTATAAACTAGTAATCCCAGGAATAACGCAATTTAATCAAGAAGTACAAGAGGAGCACAAACGAATGTATTGTATTTGGAATTCAAAATTACAACAGTCATCAATACGAAGTCATTGGTTTATTTAAACATCACATCCGCCACAGCTCAAATTGGAGTGTAAGTGTCTGTAATCGACTGTTCGTCTTCTTCTTAAGTTCGTCTTACATCTGTCCGACGGTGTATTGGATGTAGACTCTGTATTATCTAGAATGCACTCGTAAGTATTAGAATTAACAACCGAAATTGAAACAGACTCACCTGGGTTCTGGAATTGTATACAACCGGCATGTCGGTTTTGTAGTGAAATCATTGATATTTAGAATTTGCATAATAGAATTTCCAACAATATCCTCCCCCACGAAATAATGTTGGGTCCTTACTTCGCAATGTTTTAGCCAATATGACGTTCCCAATTTGCATTATCTTCTCAAATCTTACGCATCGACTACTGTATGTGAGTATTTGGGAATAAACACTGATATATGATTTGAGGTATTCCATCATGTGACTTTGGCTTGAATAAAAATCATGATACATATACTTTTTGTCATTCATATTAGAATATGCAGATGGATATGCATTGATATATGTAATTAACACATGTGATTCAACTAGGCTCGATTTACCTGCGAAACAATCGAATAGAAAACATTCATCTGCCTCATATTCATTAGGATAATCTTGGACTTGATTTGGATTCTCTGTCTGTGCAAACTTCACTTCTGGGCAAACTGGTTCTCTGGTTGCCTCGGGAAATTTTGCTTTCCCGTCTGATTCATCGTTCCACTGACTAGAGATTCTACTCGAAACACATTGTTCGTGAGAATATGCAACATCTGATACAATAACGTCACAAATGTGACTAGAATTCGACTCATTAGGAGCATATTTGTCACATTCATCAGGGATATCATTAGAGATAAATTGATTGTGAGGACCACTGACACTTGATATGATATCAGAATTCGACTTCTCTGAAATATTTTCCTCAAATTGAATAAGAGTTTCATTAGAGAATAATGGATCATTCGAAAAATCAGCATTTACCAAAAGTGAATCCGGTTTTTGCTCATGATTCGACACATTCAACATTTTGTTCTCAGAGTTGTAAGAAATTACATCAGAAGTATGTGAATTATTACGACAAAGCATATCTGGTACAATAACATGAGAAATCTGATAAGTTGGTTGGCTGGGAATTTTCGTCTCCCAATGACTCTGGGTTTCATTCAACTCTGGACTGTTATATAACGTTATACCTCTTCTAGATAAAGATAACTGATCATTAGAAGCATCCATCTTAGCATTACTTTCAGCGAAATGAACCATGGTATTACAAACTGACTGAGTATGTCCAGTTATACCACATTTAAAGCATTTAGAATTACGAAATATACATGAATTACATGGGTGAAACTTGCCGCAGAGCAAGCATTTACTAAACTCGTGCTCATCATCATGGACTGTTTCACAGCTCAATGAAGTATTATTTGAATAAATTTGATTACGCATCGAACTGCGACGACTTATTAAAGAAGTGGAATTCCTGAAGTTCTTGCGAGTCATTTTATCGGATTTTTCTCTCTTACCGCATTCGGAATTTGTATACTTTACATGATCCAACAGTAGTTGCTTGAGAGTTGCATAGGGGGGTGAAATCGGTTTGTCTGGAAGTGCCAAAATCTTTATAAGGCTGTATGCTTCTTTCCCAATGAATGTAAGGAAATGGGTCACAATATTAAAATCTTCATCATCTTCCTTGGTCAAAGCCCAGATTTCGAACCTCTCCATGTACTCCTTAAAAGCATTAAAATCTGAATTTATAATTAACCGTTCCATCACAGGCTCAGTCGCGACGCCAATATGCTGATCAGAAGTATTTGAATTGTAGTATAAACTAGTAATCCCAGGAATAACGCAATTTAATCAAGAAGTACAAGAGGAGCACAAACGAATGTATTGTATTTGGAATACAAAATTACAACAGTCACCAATACGAAGTCATTGGTTTATTTAAACATCACAATTTCCTTCGGTACAATCGTACGACACGGCTCCTACACTTGTAGTACTCCATACGACAGCCGACACACACCTTGACACTTCGTCAACATCAGAAAATAAACCTAAAACAACGCGTTCTGGAAGGAGAGTAAGATTTCCAGAACACTTAAACGACTATTGCACGTAGGACAAAAACCTCATCTCAAATTCCCTTTGCATTATTCATTACAAAAAAAGAATTGATTAACTATGCTCAATTTTATATATTTATTCCAAAAAAAACAAAGAAAATATTTGTTTACCTATTAGCGTATACATATTTTTTTATTAAAAAAAACCGAATTTTTTACAATCGCTTTTACACTGTCGCAAATGTATTCGTTTATTTTTTTCCGCTCATCTTGTTTCCTTACGCGAGTACGAGCGTATTTTTGACATGCACTCACACGTTCTACTTTTCCTCTTTTCTAGGACGGCTGGAAAAGAACGACGACGTTTCACAAGGAACCGAAATTTTCATTGTATTTTGTTTCTTTATTACTATGTTGTACTTCATGGTCCCTTAGTGTAAGGAAAGACGACCAGACGCTGCTAAACATAGCAAGCTATCAGAAGAGTGTTTACCAACGACAAACTCGTTGGCTGGTCACGTCTTAGGGGCATCACTATCTCACTAGGGGTAATTGATCTGTAGCTGTGGAGAATTCCCCAAAATCAATAGCTCATTAAGTGTTCGACATTGGATGCTGACCACATTGTTTTAAGTGGACTTGTTTAACTGAAGGCGTTCGGTCATGCATCCGTACCAGATCATGTTTTGACTTAGCGTGTGACACTGCTCCTACGTTCACTAGCCAGTCTAGAATAAACGCTTCTCGATATATTGATAACGTATCAAATATAGCTTTCCTACCTTTTCGCATCTGACTTCTGATTTTAACCCAGTGAGGAACGATTCGAATATAGGTGTTACTGGTTTATAGTTACAAAACTATAAAACTAGTCTTATCTTCATTACCACTACGAGTCTGTTGGTTCTTTTCACACAGATATACACATGTTACTAACCCAGTGGGGAACGATTCGAATATAGGTGTTACTGGTTTGTAGTTGTTGTATCTTCAACAACGACATCGTTTGGTTACCATTGTAACTGAGCGATAATACTTATAATGGATAGAACAGTTTATCGCTGCACATTGGCAAATGACATAATATTCAAAAATATTTTAACACATAATTGCTTCAACCTACATTTTATAAATTACTACCAACATCCATGTTCAGCACTACCATAATCAGAGAGTTGGATCAAATGTGAAAGTTTTTAGAGCTTATTTTTGCTTAGAACTATGATTGTAGTCTATTTTGGACTTGATAAATGGTAAATTCCACTTGCCTGAGCTTGTATTGTAACAAACAACCACATTAGGCTGATTAAACATTGACACAGGTTGTGAGTAACAACTACGTCAAACTACTATTAAACTGGAATAAGTAACGTAACAAGCAAAAACGACATAAAAACCCTCGACAACATGTAACATGTGCGTGGGAACCCACGGCCTAATTTCTTGACCGTCCTCGACTTCACAGCAATTGATGTACAGAATGGTCACCTCTTGTCAGACCATTCAAGGTCGTTGAAACGGAACGGCGGGTGGCCTTGAAAGAACCTGACTTTTCTACCGTGCCTTTTTAGCGTGTCTGGTTGCTCTAGGTCTATGTAAATGCTTTCTGACTTGTTGCTGCTACTCCGCTTGATTCGCACCAACATCCTTTGCTTTTTCTAACACATGTGCACAAGTACTTCACCTGTTTCCAGCTTATTGTTCAATTAACCCATCACATATACGATACACATATAAGTAGTATTGTCTATGGATTTTCGGGAATTACCTTGTTTTTATTGTCCTGGAATCCTTTCAAACAAAGCAATAATCATATATAAGTTTTATCTGAGCGACCACCACTTAGTTCTACGTAGAACTAGATGGTGGTCGTGATCAGATACGGTGAGCACAAAATAATAAGAATTGTAGCACATTGTCGTAGTTTTTCAGTAGAAAACGTTTGCTCACTTATTACTCATTAAAAATCACACGTTATTAGGTGACCGAACTTCCAAAGCAACCTAGTGACTCAGCAAGTTCATTTGCTCACACTACCTAGTTTCCAATTATTTGATGTCTAAAACGTATGGGCTACTCTTTAGCAGCATTCATAAACAGATAGGATTGACTTAGTAGAGTTGGAAAACCTTAATTTCAGGTGAGAGGAAAGTATGGGTGACGCAGTCATGATGTGTTGTGAAAATTCATTTCCTAATTGCGTTTCAGTATCTAGCGTTTTGCGTTGCCTGATGGTTAAAGCCTTGTTATTCCAGCCACTGAGTTCGTGGCCATCACTATTCGCTTCCATTTCAGCAGTCGCGATCCATTTATTTTGTAACTGCCTTTACCAACTGAGAGAGTGATTTTGAACATCTGCACATGTATATGTATCAGACAGTAGGAAGGTTTTCAAAAATCCTACAAAAAACAAGAGTAAATTGCTTTCCAAACTATCGCCCTTTAGTATGTATTGTATATCTTCTATGCCTCCCATGGTATGTTGTTTACTTTAAATATCAGAAAACAAACTAATTCGATAAAGTTTAGCCTTTGACATAAAATACTATTGCTCGACAAAGCTTGTTCCCATAAGTCGACGCCATTCTTCTCGATAGTAATACATCTAAATTGACAAACAGCCTGGGAGATTACAGAATAGTAATTGGTATTAGATTATGGGATGACGAAACGCAACTGCTTTGATTCCTATTGGTTCGTTAAGTTATTTGGACATGTGATATGATATTTATCTAAGGTCCGATACAAATACCATGGCGTTTAGATAATCAGATGACCTATTAGATGCGTTCGTAATGTGATAATCCAATTGTTCATAGTCTACTCACGCTTTTAAGATTCATGCTACAACTATAGAGTATTTCGTTAACCGTTAGATTTTAGGGTTTCCATGTTGAAAGCTATAACAAAGCTGATCTGAAAATGCGAATAGTATTTCTTGCGGGCGGATAGTTTGTTTATTAACAAAATGTATGATGTAGATGCCTAAAAGAAGTCTTCTGCCAAGACGTCAATGTATCAAGGTTTCTCCTTGTTTTCTACACCGCACTATGTAAAGAATATTAAGACAACTGATAAAATATTCTGACATGTGCTATTCATTACGTTCGCAAAATCATTTCTTGATGTGAGCGATTGAGAGATATGAGTGTCATCAGTTACTCAATTATTAATGAACTTACAATCTAAATCCCAAGTCTAATATCGCTCGCATCTGCTGGGACCAGCAGGTAAACAATAATAAGGTTAGACACAGGGCATTAGGAAATGATGGTAAATCAGTTGATGAGGTCATGAATCTTCATCGACTTAGATGGTTAGGCCACGTGTTACGTATGCCTGAACACCGATTACAACGACGCGCAATGCTGAGTAGTATAGAGGATGGTTGGAAGAGAGTTGGGGCGGCCAAACCAAAACATGGTATCAGTGCTTTAAGTCACTAACTTCCAGTCTGCGCCATGTTGGTATGTGCAGACTACTTGGTTGGGGTCTGCGTGACTATCGTGACCACAATGGTTGGAGTCTGCGCGACATGACTCAAAATCGGTCACAATGGCGTAGGTGTATACACTCTTTATCTTCCCTTAAACCGTGAGATTAAATTACTTTATATGGTTTTTTCTACGAACTAATTCCTTCTTCCTGTATCATATCCTCATATGCAATTTTTCTTTTATATATTACTACCATTGAAGTAACTACTTCTATAAAGTTGGTGTTCATCTTGTTGTGTTAATGAGTTGTGGCAAGTTGGACCGATGTATATATGTACCTGGTCCTTCGTTGTAGCTGACTGACTAAATCTGATGTTTCAGCGACATACCTTTCAGATTTAAGGCTTTGGTTTATGTACGCAACGTTGGTATCCAATTCTACATACACAACGAATTATTCACTTCATGCCACCTTAGAGATTTCAGGTATGAAATATATTGACATCTAAAACTCGGGTACAAAAAATTAGGATCCCTCATTTAGAGACTCCCTACTATAGTAGCTAATTACCAACTTAATTACAGCAATTCATGTATTAACTGGTCCTCGAGAAAGTATTTATCTCTTCGTAATAATGTCTCATTTCATCTGTTCTCTCTAATATGACACCATTCTTATAACTGGGCCTGGTTCACCATTTTTTATAATAAAAAGTAAAACCTAAAACAAAAGTAAATTTTATTTAATCAATCCTAAATCTCTGTTTCTCTGCTTCACAAAAGTTTTATTTATAGAAGCATCTAACATGCGATTTGCATTTTAATCTAGGGAATTAATGTCTTCTGAAGTTATTAATTTTTCTCCGGTCTCCAACAAATTTACTGTTGCTCTGTGCGTACTGAATCAGTGGGCGCTTGACTTTAGTGGAAATACCAGACGTGTGATTGAAAGTGTTAAAACTGCTAAACGTTTGGGAGCTAAGTATAGAGTTGGCCCAGAATTAGAGATCTCAAGTTACGGATGTGAAGATCATTTTCATGAACTGGATACTTATACTCATTCATGGCAATGCATTGCAAAAATATTGAATGAAATAAATGAAAATGTTGAAATGCAAGATATTGTTTGTGATATTGGAATGCCAGTTTTACTAGGAGGTGTGGCTTATAACTGCAGAATTCTTTTGTTAAATGGGACTGTTCTACTGATACGACCGAAATTAGTCCTCGCAGATGAAGGTTTACACAGGGAATCTCGTTGGTTTACGCCTTGGCCTCATCACCAGAGAATCATTGATTTTGAGTTACCCGAAATAGTCCGAAAAGTAACCAAGAATTCTCAGTCAGTAGCAGCTTTCGGTGATGCTATTTTACGATTTTCGGGAAATGGCTATTCTGAATATGTACAGATAGGCTTGGAAACATGTGAAGAGCTTTGGACGGGGACACCACCTCATATTGCTATGTATGCAGCTGGTGTAGATGCTGTGCTCAATTCAAGTGCCAGTCACCATGAACTGAGAAAACTAAATAGAAGAATAGAGCTAGTGAAGTCTGCCAGTACGGCAAATGGTGGTGGGTTCTATGCGTATACAAATCTTAGAGGGTGCGATTCTGGGAGAGCTTGTTACGACGGTTGTGCATTAGCTGCAGTCTCCGGTCAGGTAATTTTTCTGAGCCCACAGTTTGGATTTGGAGATGTCTCTGTTGAAACTGTCACTGTTTGTCTGAATTCACTGAGATCAAGGCGAATCGCCAGTCGTTGTTTTGGACGTGCGGCTGCAGCTAGTGCAGCTGCAAAATCCGATGCATTTGGTATTACACACAGTTGTTATCCAGTTGTTAAGGTACGATTTCTTTTCGTTATGCTAAATATTATTTTTATCGTTTAACGCACTGGGCAAGATACTAAAGCTTTGTTGTTCTTATTATACCACTCATCTATTTTTATTAATAATCTGATTTCTATAATTTTCCAAAAATTATAATGTTAACTGACTAAGACATTAAATAGGAATAATATATATTTGTAAAATCTCAGCGAATGAATTTGTAGTAAATCCAACGTTTCGCCTGACAATCTGGTCCAAGCTTTTTCAAGGAATTATATATGTTAACTGACTAAGCTTCCCAAACCTTTTCGCAACGTGAAAGTTTTGCAACTGGTCTGACATCCACATCTATTATGTTTGTCCATATGGAAGAAGCTAGTTACTTTGGCTAGCTTTCTAGATCTAGGAACTTACAGAACAATTTAGGCATATAAGCGCTCGCGCGCGAGACCGATAAGTCCTGGGTTCGAATCTCGCGAGGCGGGATCGTGGATGCCCACCGCTGAAGAGTCTCACAATAGGACAAAACGGCCTTCCAGTGCTTCCAGGTTTTCCATGGTGGTCTAGCTTCAAATGACTTATGATCTCAACTATTGAAATTAAATATATAACTTAAAGGTTATAATTTGAATATCTGCATCATCTGTAGGGTAAAATAAGATTCAAGAACGGTAAAGCATGAAAAGGGATATTTCGTTAGTTATAATCGCTAGAATTGAAATTTTGTTGGTCAGTTACCAGAGATTAGCAATACCATACCGATTAGATGCACATTTTCTGCCATTACTGACCATGAGTCATTTCACCTATGTTTTTGAAGGATCGACCCCACATACTGTTGGAAAATATTAGGTTAAGCAGTAATTATAAGTTAATGAAATAATATAAATCCAACTAACTAATCAAGTACAGAACCACATACTTCAATTTTGGCCATATCTTCATATGAAAGCCGAAGATTCGAACCATAGACATGGATTGTGTAGTGTTTGGCAGGATTCAAACTTGTGAAACTTAATAATCAGACCACCGAACAACAACTCTGAAACAATGCATAGCTAGGTTAAAACTTTAATTGGAATTAGTTTGGTTGCCTATGTAGTGCTTTTGTTTATCTACAAAATATTCGATCTCTATACAAGCAAATAACGCTCCACATCGCTTTTCATCTATAGTTGTTTCCTCCATCAGAAAACTTTATAATTAAGCAAAGGTGTGAATTCTGACAAATTTATTCTTTAATTTATAATATCTGCCTAGGTCATTTTCATTTGTAGGTTGATTTCAATCTTTGCCATAGTGACCATTGGCCTGATCAGTCCTTACAACCACACGTTGATACTCATATTCTTTCACCTCCAGAAGAGATTTCTTATGGTCCTGCATTATGGTTGTGGGATAATTTACGACGAAGCAAGTCTTCAGGATTTTTTCTTTGTTTGAGTGGAGGTTTGGACAGCGCAGCAGTTGCGTGTATTGTGTTCAGTCTTTGTAACCAAGTAAGTAATTCCATCAAAAAGTGCATTTTTAATAAAAGCTGTGTATTCAATCATTTCCATCTCACCATCACAGTTTGAAGATATACACTGATCCACTTCGTGGTAGAGTTTTATTTATTTATTTGAACATATTAACATTAGTACAAGGGGGCACCAAATATATATGCGCCACACAATAACAATGACACCAGTAGCAGTTATTGTTGATTTATTTTAGGGCTATAATGCTGCCCGGGCGCCGAAACAGAAGCAGGAGCAGAGTATTATGCTAAAAAGGTAGAAACAATAAACCATTCTGAAGTTTTCTCAATGTGTAGTTTGTGGTAGAAGTTATGCTGCCTGTAACTGCTACTTTAATGCGATGTTTTAATCTTTTTGTTATGACGATTCAATGGGGTTATATTGGCTAGAACACTTATTTCTTAAGGACCTAACGTACCTAGTTGGTAGTCAGCAAAACAATAGGACTAAAAGCAGCACATTTAAAATCCGACAGTAGAGTCGTACTCCCAATTGTACCACGATATGGCGAAAAGAGTGTGTTTTTCGAACGCAACCAGCATCTCTAGCAGTACTGTCGTTTCACAGACAAATAGATGTATAAATAAGATGTCTATTATCCCTAACTTGGTTTATTCGTCATTGTAAGTTTTGTTTCAAGTGTAATCCGAGATTTTTCATGACCATGTTTGAGTCAATAAACTGTTGACTAACTTAATTGAGGAAGTTTAATGATTAACTTAAGGCTTATTGATCAAGGATATTCGTTTATAGTATTCTGCTTTCAAAATTCAGAAAATTGATCAAGTATTTCACAATATGTTTACTTAACAATAAATGACAAACAAGTCCACAATATGATATTTGAAATGACTTCATTTTTACTACACGTCGTAATTTTCCACAGGCTTTAAATCAAGGGATGTATTATATTATTGTATGCATTATTATAATTAATGTCGTTAGTATGTATTTGGTGAAAAAATGCACATGTTCATTTTTTCTTTCATTTTAGATTTTTCAAGCTATAAAACAAGGTTATATGTCCGTTACACACGATTTACGTACTATATTGAATGAATCGGATAAATATATTCCTGAGAGTGGTCGTCAGTTATGTTCCCGTTTACTAACAACGTGTTTTATGTCAAGTGAGAACAGTTCTACGCTTACAAGATCACGTGCTAATCGCTTAGCTAAACTTTTAGGTTCAAATCATTTAGAAGTAATTAAATTTAAATCTCTTTTACGTTACTCCGAAAATTTATCCGATAGTTTTAAAACATCTGCCATTTTAATGAGCCCATGTATAATGCAGTGTATTTTAAAACAGAAGACACCACTATTACCTGTAGAATTAAATTAAAACTAAGAAAAAAGAGGTGATACAGCAAAGATTTACGTTACATGCTTGAGTCAATCGGAAAACTAATAAAAACCTAGTAGTTGATATTTGGTTTATTTTGTACCCTTAAAGTCTTAATAAGTGAACATCACTTATTTACTCGGGATAAAAACCAGACCCTTCAAATATCTCTTTCAAACCGACTTTTTTGAAAACTAGTATGTCGGTGCTCAGTCCTTTTCACTTCCTGGCGATCTTTGCCCCAGCTTCATGTGAAGCTGTATCGCTCAGTTGCTCTGAATTACTTTAAACCAGTTATTCTGGGCAGCATGATCATATTTTTTCATGAAAATTATCTTAAAATTGAAAAACCCTCATAAATAAGCCATTTAAAAGCAGATTTATATCTTGTTACTGAGTGCTATTTGCTAGTAACTGATAACGAAATTAGGTTAACGTATTTCGTTTTATTTACAAACTCATCAACTGGGCATATACATCATCTCTTGAGTTTTAATATTCTTATTCACATCTAGACTCAAAGTCTGAGGTTCTACCAACTAAGTTATCGGTTTGTTTGAATTAAATGACTTAACTAGTCACTATAAACGCAAGTTAGTTAGGCAATCAACTATATTATATCGTCATTATGATAAGCAGGTCGATATATTAGTCTTTGGTATTCATCAAGTTTTCATAGGTTAAAGAATTTAATGTAATCACTGAACCAAGTGATAAAGTTTCATTATGCAAACCTCTCTATTATTATGTAGTCTTAACATTCCTTACTATTAAAATTTACCTTTAATTCTAACATGTATACTTCGTAGTCCGATATTACACCACTGGTAAAAGAATTTGTCCACATGGCTTCCAAGACTCTAGATCTTGCTCAACCACCTCGTTTCACTGTTCATGGAGGTTCAAGTAAAGAAAGTTTAGCTCTTCAAAATATACAAGCTAGAAGTCGTATGGTTTCAGCATATTTACTGGCTCAGTTGATGTCATGGAATTGGAATTTGCCGTCAGGTCTGTTAGTTTTAAGTAGTGCAAATCTAGATGAAGGACTAAGAGGTTATTTAACAAAGTAGGTTGCTATTTGTTAAACTTTCACCTAGTACAAATGCAATTTGACTTCTCAGTGAGAAATATTCATTGTCATTTAAATTTTTCGTAATAACCGGTTAAAATAATGGTTTTACTGCAATAAGTCCATGGTGAAAAGGATTACCCTATTAACTTTACTGAGTTCTGATTTGGTCAAGTTTTTGGCTATCTCAACAAAAAACCCGGATTGAGCGATCAAGTACAGCACAGAAAAAGTGACCAACTGACTTACCATGCATGTGAAACAACAACTTATTCACATGGTACAACAAATTAATCGATTAACACCATTTCGCTAGCAACCTAATTCTCGGTCGTAAGCTGCCGATTAAACTAAGGTCGAACTGCTAGGTAAAATTCTACTCGTCTTATGATGTTGGTAATGAAATTCTGTATTACCAGGTTTATCTAAACTTAATATAAATTAGCTTTCAGGCAGACCGTCTCAATTAGGAGCAGTGACTTGGAGGGTAAAGCAATTTTTGCTATTAGGTCGTGTGCTCAAACCCCAACAACACACATTTTTCTTGGCATCCGAAAAGTGTCATTAACCTTAAAATAATCAAGGTAGTTCGAGCCACACAAGGTAATATTTAATGAGAGGAAAAGATTATCTTAGTCTCCAATTTAAAGCGAATGAAGAATAATTTTTTTGATAACTACAAACGAGTTTTGCAATTATAATCAACAGTTCAAGGAAATGCCGTAGATAAAACCAACTACATCTTAGTAAAATAAAATTATTAATGTATTTAACTTAAATTTGGTTGTTTTTTCGAAGTATTATTTTATACTTATAGCTGTATAACCTGGTGAGAATTTACTAAAGTTCAGAGTATTCATCGTTCGCATATCTTTGTTTCAGTGAAGTAGGAATTCATTAATTTTAATAAAGCTAGCACTCCCTTGTTGTTATTCAAATGGTCTAACATATATCCAGTTACTACTGTTACCATCGATAATTATCCCCTCATTCAATCCATAAACAATGACTTTTATACGTCTTGTCGCAACTTCATCTTTGTATTTTAGTCGGTCAACATACGAGTTACTTCCACATACAGTGGGACATGTTTTGTTACTGAGGTATCGGAATAATAACTTTTAAAGATTTTGTTAGTTTTTTAAATTAGAATTTACGACACTGTGATCACTTAGAGGTTTGTATGCCTTATTTTCGAACCTAAAGTGAAATAGTCATATGATACTTAGCGATTCCCAGTATTTTTTAAAAATGAATTTAATCCGTGGTTTGATGTATATCATGTTGAGCAATCTCTGATTGGTGAAAGTAGACCGACTACATATGGGTTTACACTCGTGTTTCATGAAATCTCGAGGAATATCAAGAGAAGAACCACTATCTTACAACATAAAGGATTTTGTGATTAATTTGCTAGCTTGTGTTTTCAACTTTTTTTTCTTAGGTATGACTGTTCCAGTGCAGACTTAAATCCTATTGGGAGTATAAGTAAGTCAGATTTACGATTATTTATTGCTTACTGTGCTCAAACATTCCCAAGTTATATGGATTCTAAAAGTGGAGTTGAACTTTCGGAAGTATTGCTAGAAATTTTATCTGCTCATCCAACAGCTGAACTAATGCCACTTCAATCTAACGGTGAAATTAGTCAGACAGATGAATGTGAAATGGGATTGACCTATGACGAATTATCATTATTCGGTAGACTTAGAAAAATATCTAACTGTGGACCATATAGTATGCTAGAATCATTACTGGACGGTAGTTGGTTACTGATTAAGAAGGTTATACCTGATAGTTGTTTTCAAGAAGATGGAAAACCTGGTGCCGAACTTGCTCATTATCTTAATGAAAAAGTGAAGCTATTTTTCCGTTTCTATGCTATCAATCGTCACAAGGCTACTATTTTACCACCAGCTTATCATACTGAGGCTTATAATGCTGATGATAACCGGTGAGTCGATCTTTTTCACTGTTCATCTAGTCAAAGAGTTATTAAATACCTTTATTATTGTACATACGCTTATCACACTGTAGAACAGAGATGTATACTGGAGTCACTAGATATCTGCTACGGAAATGAACATATTTTGTGACCAAATGCATTAAGATTAATTATTTCTTGAAGTCTCCCAGATAACCATGTGATATATGTAGTCATAAAAACTTGGCTGAGATGACCACCCTCATGTGTAGCGACTAGATCACAAAACTTCATAATATACATATTGCGAATTCCGTAAATATAATTGTTAAACACCGCTAGCTTTTCCGGTCTGACAAATTAAAGTTTATCTAGGTTACGACCTATTATTATTGTTGCCATCAGCAGTTAGAATCTACGTCGTGGAATGTTTTAGCAGAACATTGTTTATAAGGGATATCATTCACTTGGTTTAATATCAGCATCATTAACACTTGTAAGCGGTTTTCTAAGCAATTGGCAACATAATATAATTCAATTCAGTCGGGTGTAAATAATCATAAACCTGGTAGAACGTTGTATGGTCCAATGAAAACATAATAAACCACTCTTGATTGGAAAATCATTTTTTAAAATAAAAGGCAACAATAAATCCAGCAGGTCATACTGGAGTAACGTGGAGAACCACATAAACGAAAACTTTTGATGATAAATATCAATATTTCCAATTAGTTATCCGAACCTTGATGAAACCACTCCCACTTCGCTGTATATGATTTATTTAATTCCGACGTTCGTGGCTACTTCATGGTGTCTAATCTACAATATGAACCTCATTACAAGTTTATGCAGTGTTTCGAACTCAGCCTACGCATCATCTTTACATACATATATTTTCTCACCTGGTAACGCGATTTTAGTAGGTTATCAATCAGATACTGATGTTTGGTTTTGGTGTGAATTAAAACCCTATACTGTATTTTCATCTTATTATCTGTCGGTATAGATCTCAAGGTGACAAAACCGTACTATGGGCTGGAATCTGTGTACAGATACTGTTATAAAGGATATCCTATCTTAAAAACCATCATATTATACACATTCACCTTCATTTTGTTTTCTGTCTTCTTTATGAATAGACAGGCAAAGATGTTTATTCTCTCTTCACAGCACATTTTGCTGACTATTTTGAGCAACAGTGGTCTTTCAAATCCTACTTCTCTACATGTGTTCAAGCACACATGCAATTTACTTTGATAAATAGCAGCATACCGTTTGATTTTGTGATAAAGGATGGATTATATTTTGTTAATTATGCTAATCTAGTCTACGAAATAAGTTCTGATGATCTCAAACTGCCCCCTTATCCTAACATGGTTTTTCTATTAATCATTGAGTGGTAGATATTTTAGGTCATAACGGCCAATAAACTTTGATAGGTATCCATTCCATACTCGCGTTTTATCTATCAGTTTGAATTCCTTTTCAGTCATATCTTTTGTTTACATACACCTGACTGTTAAATAAACCCACCATCAATCCCCTCTTTGTACTGAACTCATCAAGCGACTATGAAAATGCAATAGGTTTTCGACTCGGGGAGTTCGTAGAGGGACCGTTTGGTAGATTCGACATCTCGTTGACTATCAAGTATTGGTTGAAAACACAAACATTACTGCAGCTACATAAAGACATTTTTCTCCGTCCTATAACATCCTAATCATTATATCCAGTGTTTAAAATTAGTTAAGATAATCTGGATGTCCGACAACACAGAGCATTTTCAAGTGCTGAATTTTCGCACTAATTCCCATATGTAGGAGTAATACAGTCATCAAAATGCTAGATCATAAAGGTTTGTGATAAGTAAGGCCAATAGAGATGCACTAAAAGGGTTAAGCTATTTTCAAGATGCCAGAAATTAAGTTGGTTGTGATAAAATCCAAAAAATTAGGTATAAATATTTATCTGTTCATTCTGCTTTGTTAATAATAATGCTATATTGTATATATTGTATACTAAAAATCTTGCGTCAAATATCCACCCTGCTCATTTTAGGTTTGATTTCCGTCCGTATTTGTATCCTAGTGACTGGAATTGGCAATTTACTTGTCTAGATTTACTGGTAGAAAAATGGGTAGAACAATTCAAGTGAATCTATTCGGATCGTCTCATTTGTGAACCTGTCTACTGGAACATATTTTTAATCCTAGTCAACCTATATTATTTAGAATCATTTGCATATTTTTACACATTCACACAGCAGAATTATTTTTAGTGTGGTACTTCCATAAGTTTTCTTATGTGATAGTGGATTTTTTGTGAACATTGTGTACCATAACTTTATCAAACCTCAACAAGTTAAATTAAATTGTGATTTCCGTGTGAGATAATGTGGATGAGGTATGTCATCGCTAAACATGAGTTATTTTATTTAGCGTACAACGGGATATCAGCTCTTGTTATTCAATATATATTAATATATACCTAAATAATTATTTTAGAAAATACGTTCATAGAGGTCGTACCTTTCTAGAACTACCCATGACTCTCCACACTGCCATTTATTCTATCAACATTACAACACCTTAGAATTGCTAAATGTGAATTAAATTATTTAAAGCAAATAATCCTTGAATGTTATGTTCAGTCAGCTAGAACGTAAGACCAGGTACATATATGCATCGGTCCAAGTTGCCATACCTCATTAGCACAACAAGATGAACACCGAATTCATAGAAGTAGTTAATTCGATGGTGGTAATATATAGAAGAAAGATTGTATATAGTACAGGGAGAAAGACAGATATGAAGCAATTTTAATCTCACAGTTTAAGGGAAGACAAAGAGTGTATACACCATTGTGATCGATTCTCAGCCATGTCACACAGTCTCCAAACCCTACCAAGTAGTCTGCACCTGCCAACATGGCGCAGACTGGAAGTTAGTGACTTTAAGCACTGATGCTATGTCTTGGTTTGGCCGCCCCAACTCTCTTCCAACCATCCCCTATACTAGTCAACATTGCGCGTCGTGGTAATCGGTTTTCAGCTGTACGTGACCCAACCATCTCAGTCAATGAATATTTACAACCTCATCAACTCATTTACCATCATTCCCTAATACCTTACGTCTAACCTCACCATCACTTAGCCGGTAATCCCAGCAGATGCGAGCAATATTTCTAAGGCTTCTGTGATCAAAAAATAGTAACTTACGAGTATCTTCTACTCCCAATGGTCACGTTTCACAGAGCAAACTGTTGCATAGTATACTCGTCTCGTAATTGATAGACGGATGTATCTTTTTCGCCATAAATGACGTAAGTTGTCGAATGCCAAACGAGCTTTTTTGAGTCCGTGCTGAGATTTCGTCAGACATTAACCCTTTAGTGCTGATCAGACTTTCGAGATAAGTGAAGTTGTCGACACGTTCGACTACCTCACTCTCTATCCTTAGTTCAGGTGTCGACGCATGCCAGTTCTGGAGTAACAATTTACATTTAGAAAGGGAGCGACATTCCATTTATTGCCCCCAAATGCCCTGGTACGGCCGAGAGTGGGGAGAGTCACCTCTCCCTCTCGAAATGCTCTCATATGCCCAGCGAATATATAGCCTCTGCCAGGGAAGTCCTACTCACTGCCTTCTCGTGGCGGGGGTGTTGTTTATGAAAGTGAGAGGACGAAAAGCGAATGTCCGGCGCTTTAACCGGGTTGGTGGACATGGAAAGTTCATAGCACTGATGCTATGTCTTGGTTTGGCCGCCCCAACTCTCTTCCAACCATCCCCTATACTAGTCAACATTGCGCGTCGTGGTAATCGGTTTTCAGCTGTACGTGACCCAACCATCTCAGTCAATGAATATTTACAACCTCATCAACTCATTTACCATCATTCCCTAATACCTTACGTCTAACCTCACCATCACTTAGCCGGTAATCCCAGCAGATGCGAGCAATATTTCTAAGGCTTCTGTGATCAAAAAATAGTAACTTACGAGTATCTTCTACTCCCAATGGTCACGTTTCACAGAGCAAACTGTTGCATAGTATACTCGTCTCGTAATTGATAGACGGATGTATCTTTTTCGCCATAAATGACGTAAGTTGTCGAATGCCAAACGAGCTTTTTTGAGTCCGTGCTGAGATTTCGTCAGACATTAACCCTTTAGTGCTGATCAGACTTTCGAGATAAGTGAAGTTGTCGACACGTTCGACTACCTCACTCTCTATCCTTAGTTCAGGTGTCGACGCATGCCAGTTCTGGAGTAACAATTTACATTTAGAAAGGGAGCGACATTCCATTTATTGCCCCCAAATGCCCTGGTACGGCCGAGAGTGGGGAGAGTCACCTCTCCCTCTCGAAATGCTCTCATATGCCCAGCGAATATATAGCCTCTGCCAGGGAAGTCCTACTCACTGCCTTCTCGTGGCGGGGGTGTTGTTTATGAAAGTGAGAGGACGAAAAGCGAATGTCCGGCGCTTTAACCGGGTTGGTGGACATGGAAAGTTCATAGCACTGATGCTATGTCTTGGTTTGGCCGCCCCAACTCTCTTCCAACCATCCCCTATACTAGTCAACATTGCGCGTCGTGGTAATCGGTTTTCAGCTGTACGTGACCCAACCATCTCAGTCAATGAATATTTACAACCTCATCAACTCATTTACCATCATTCCCTAATACCTTACGTCTAACCTCACCATCACTTAGCCGGTAATCCCAGCAGATGCGAGCAATATTTCTAAGGCTTCTGTGATCAAAAAATAGTAACTTACGAGTATCTTCTACTCCCAATGGTCACGTTTCACAGAGCAAACTGTTGCATAGTATACTCGTCTCGTAATTGATAGACGGATGTATCTTTTTCGCCATAAATGACGTAAGTTGTCGAATGCCAAACGAGCTTTTTTGAGTCCGTGTTGAGATTTCGTCAGACATTAACCCTTTAGTGCTGATCAGACTTTCGAGATAAGTGAAGTTGTCGACACGTTCGACTACCTCACTCTCTATCCTTAGTTCAGGTGTCGACGCATGCCAGTTCTGGAGTAACAATTTACATTTAGAAAGGGAGCGACATTCCATTTATTGCCCCCAAATGCCCTGGTACGGCCGAGAGTGGGGAGAGTCACCTCTCCCTCTCGAAATGCTCTCATATGCCCAGCGAATATATAGCCTCTGCCAGGGAAGTCCTACTCACTGCCTTCTCGTGGCGGGGGTGTTGTTTATGAAAGTGAGAGGACGAAAAGCGAATGTCCGGCGCTTTAACCGGGTTGGTGGACATGGAAAGTTCATAGCACTGATGCTATGTCTTGGTTTGGCCGCCCCAACTCTCTTCCAACCATCCCCTATACTAGTCAACATTGCGCGTCGTGGTAATCGGTTTTCAGCTGTACGTGACCCAACCATCTCAGTCAATGAATATTTACAACCTCATCAACTCATTTACCATCATTCCCTAATACCTTACGTCTAACCTCACCATCACTTAGCCGGTAATCCCAGCAGATGCGAGCAATATTTCTAAGGCTTCTGTGATCAAAAAATAGTAACTTACGAGTATCTTCTACTCCCAATGGTCACGTTTCACAGAGCAAACTGTTGCATAGTATACTCGTCTCGTAATTGATAGACGGATGTATCTTTTTCGCCATAAATGACGTAAGTTGTCGAATGCCAAACGAGCTTTTTTGAGTCCGTGCTGAGATTTCGTCAGACATTAACCCTTTAGTGCTGATCAGACTTTCGAGATAAGTGAAGTTGTCGACACGTTCGACTACCTCACTCTCTATCCTTAGTTCAGGTGTCGACGCATGCCAGTTCTGGAGTAACAATTTACATTTAGAAAGGGAGCGACATTCCATTTATTGCCCCCAAATGCCCTGGTACGGCCGAGAGTGGGGAGAGTCACCTCTCCCTCTCGAAATGCTCTCATATGCCCAGCGAATATATAGCCTCTGCCAGGGAAGTCCTACTCACTGCCTTCTCGTGGCGGGGGTGTTGTTTATGAAAGTGAGAGGACGAAAAGCGAATGTCCGGCGCTTTAACCGGGTTGGTGGACATGGAAAGTTCATAGCACTGATGCTATGTCTTGGTTTGGCCGCCCCAACTCTCTTCCAACCATCCCCTATACTAGTCAACATTGCGCGTCGTGGTAATCGGTTTTCAGCTGTACGTGACCCAACCATCTCAGTCAATGAATATTTACAACCTCATCAACTCATTTACCATCATTCCCTAATACCTTACGTCTAACCTCACCATCACTTAGCCGGTAATCCCAGCAGATGCGAGCAATATTTCTAAGGCTTCTGTGATCAAAAAATAGTAACTTACGAGTATCTTCTACTCCCAATGGTCACGTTTCACAGAGCAAACTGTTGCATAGTATACTCGTCTCGTAATTGATAGACGGATGTATCTTTTTCGCCATAAATGACGTAAGTTGTCGAATGCCAAACGAGCTTTTTTGAGTCCGTGCTGAGATTTCGTCAGACATTAACCCTTTAGTGCTGATCAGACTTTCGAGATAAGTGAAGTTGTCGACACGTTCGACTACCTCACTCTCTATCCTTAGTTCAGGTGTCGACGCATGCCAGTTCTGGAGTAACAATTTACATTTAGAAAGGGAGCGACATTCCATTTATTGCCCCCAAATGCCCTGGTACGGCCGAGAGTGGGGAGAGTCACCTCTCCCTCTCGAAATGCTCTCATATGCCCAGCGAATATATAGCCTCTGCCAGGGAAGTCCTACTCACTGCCTTCTCGTGGCGGGGGTGTTGTTTATGAAAGTGAGAGGACGAAAAGCGAATGTCCGGCGCTTTAACCGGGTTGGTGGACATGGAAAGTTCACCTAGGGGAGTTGGAAAACCCTGATTCCAAACCAATAGTGTACATGGGCTCCAGTATCCTGAGGGAACAAATGGCGGACGAACCTGTCATTGGTCAACGGCTACCATGGGACTGCATCTCCTCACGATGCTCTACTGCCTTGTGGATCAGACCTTTAGGTCAAAGGCTCGGGGTGTGGCCCCCTAAGAAAACCACCTGCTTCAGTCTGGGCACCTGGGCAGTATCACAGCCCTCACACAAATCGAATGAGATTTGTGAGGCGCATATGTATCTGGTGCTTCCTTGTACCAATATTTATGTGTTTAAATAAATAAAATAAAGAAAGGGAGAAAGGCAATCCAAATATCCTGGCATTGTTACTCAGTCCTAACAAAAGACTCTGCATTTTGACATCTCCGTATTTTAAGTCGATAAGTGGACCTCCTGGTAGGAGATCAGTTCCTGAAAATTTAGTCGACGTGTGTTATTTCCAGCAGTAGATCTATGATGAATGTGGATAGTGCGTAGTGTCGGTTGGTATGATACCTTATTTTAGCTTCTGGACAAGCCAATTTACCTATCCATCTTGAGTCACGTTTAGACCTTGTTAATTATTCACTTATCAACTCTAACTGTTTTTTATACGAGCGTATGTGTGTACACTTCTTATCCTATACATCACATGTCTGTAACTTATTTTTATCTAACTATAAATATTGATTAACGCTTGATGAAGCGATTTGGCTTACCTGCCGTCTTCAATGTGTGTCGTTTCTGCTTCGCTCTTCTATTCTTCTAAAAGGCAACGACGTGTGTCCCTATCCTTCCGAGTTCTTACGGAGACATTTGGCAGGACAGCACATAGGCGACTGTTAGCGGAGATCCATTCTAATAGTGCTTGTTCTGCCCTCGTACTAAGTGCTATGCCTACACCTGCTAGTCCACGAGAACTAGACATCGGGTCACAAATACACGGAGGTTGTATCATGTTTGGGCGAGGTGAGTTCTAGTTAGTGACCACACTAGAATCCTGTATGTGTGTTTCAGAGACACAGCATACACCAATGGTACGACATTCTGGGGTCTGAGCCAAGGAGGCCTGTTGGCCGATTTGATAAAGGGTACGTACGTTGAAGGCTCCAACGTGTAGTTTGGAGCGAGGTTTCAGTAGACCTGGTAGTGTTTTACTCGCAATGGTGACACTTGAGGAGGAAGTTTAATGTTAAAAGTCGAGATGTGAGAAATACTAGGAATTGAAGAAGACTGATCATGAATATAGTGATCTTGAGTGCTGTTAGAGGTATAAGGGTGGTTATCACTTCCAGGTTGCCCACACTGTGGAAAGGTTCTTCTAGAGGTACCTGAAAAGGGAACTGGGTTAGAGGTGATCTTAGTGACCTGCGAGCGTGACCGTAGTGCCCAAGGAACAACTGCTCGAGGTCGGTCACACACAACCTTTTTGTGAGTAGTTCCCGTGTTAGCTCCGTAATTGTTGAGATCTTACCTCCGGAGACGGGTATCCGTGGGATAAGGCGGTGTGCATTTTTAGGCTTGACCTTTTTTGACCCCATCCTTCGTTGTGGGAAGGCAGCATTGCCGTTATGTTGGTTGTCTGAAGGAAACACCTTACTGCCTTCACACCTCTGTACAGTTGGCAGTGCGACTTCGGACCTTGGGTTTGCTGCTTTTAGTCTTACCGCTCTTCAACCGACCTGTTTGGCATGGTAGGACCTTGAGGAAATATTGTTCCAGCCAGTATAGCTCGATTGGTTCACCACGATAGGCAAGCCTAACCACCACGTCAAGGTTACAGCAACGGTCAGGCAAAATGCTTTATTATCACAAACTTTCGACAAATAAACAATGAGGATATAACTCAACGATGTATTCCTTAAACTTCTCTCAATGATCTAGTGCATCATCGATACTGTGCTTTTTACAATACTGATAAAGATATCCTAGAATTAATCTTATAAGGTATCACTCATTTCACAGAATAAGAGTATATAACCATTAAAACTTTTCTTCACAATCAAAAGCAGATCCTCAGTATCAAGCACTAGCAGTTTCAGTAGAAAGTGCTGAATCAACAGAAATGCAAAGTATATTAAAGTCAAGATAATACAAATATCGAGTCATCTATATATTTACAAATGATTGCTTCATAGTGACATTAAGTACTGCTTCTCACCACAGAAATTCTGGATTATCGCGCTGAGCCAGAAAATCGCTCATTCTGAACACTGCCACTTCTGTTTCATTCACTGTTAATTATACCAAATAATATATATACACAATTCAGTGAAAATATCTTCCTGGCTGTATAATCGTATTCATAGTTAATTAAAAAATAAAGCAGCCCATTGAAAAATAGGAAGATTACATCATTTCGAGCGCCAAAAGGAAGTTTCATAGAATTACCGAGAATTTAAAGAAAGAAAATAAGATAAATCTGAGTCTGTGAAAGAAAACTGTCTACTTAGGGGCTATGGGAAAGGTAAAGAATAGATTATAAACGTGGTGATAATAACAAATAATTAAAAAGTAAAAGACATTAGAAGGATGTATTAACGACCGAATTACCGTCCATGAAAATTAGGTGTTAGGGCTATGGAAGATAGACGATGGTTTGCACATGTCACTTTTGAACAAAGAAATCAGGTTTGAAAAGATGCGCTGCTAACATCTCCGCAGTGTACAGGTAATCAACTTTTGCTCATATTGGACCCAGACGTTTGATTGCAGTTGATTCTGAAGGATACCTGGTGGGGCCATGTGACCCAATCTAAAGAGATGTTTCGATATTAAGCTATTGATTATTTCACGTCTTTCGAAAGCCACGCAGAATAATGTTTGGAAATGAGCTGGCTTTGTTTCTCTGATGTAGACTCCTTCAAAAGAGCAAGTAAACTCATAAATACAACTTGATGTGAGTTTATATTTTATGTATTTATGAGTGATAAGGCGGCTGAAAAAGACTGACGAGTTGAGTGTCACAAAGTTTGACTCAACGATCCCGTTGAATGATCCTACAACATGTATGAAGCACCAGTACTCTCAAGATCAGCGTTCATAGTGTTGTTTAGGACTGTAGGTCTTGCAGATCGTTGATTGAATCTCATATTTCTTTTAGTGGAAGTTGATGCACAAGCATTCCTGATACTTGTTGGGGCTCAAACAGTACATTGTCTATCGTATTTTCGGAGCTAGCAGCGCATCTTTTCAAACCTGATTTCTTTGTTCAAAAGTGACATGTGCAAACCATCGTCTATCTTCCATAGCCCTAACACCTAATTTTCATGGACGGTAATTCGGTCGTTAATACATCCTTCTAATGTCTTTTACTTTTTAATTATTTGTTATTATCACCACGTTTATAATCTATTCTTTACCTTTCCCATAGCCCCTAAGTAGACAGTTTTCTTTCACAGACTCAGATTTATCTTATTTTCTTTCTTTAAATTCTCGGTAATTCTATGAAACTTCCTTTTGGCGCTCGAAATGATGTAATCTTCCTATTTTTCAATGGGCTGCTTTATTTTTTAATTAACTATGAATACGATTATACAGCTTGAGAAAATTACATTGCTAAACTCTTTATCAGTGACACTCACTTATTTTAGTTATATACTTGTCGGTTTCATTCTAGACTCGTCAGGTGAGCGTTTATGCATAAAAACACTTGATCCTTTCATCAAAGTTTGAACAAACCACCGACTTGCGTACATTTCTAGTCAGTCTTAGATAAGCCGGTCAGCCATAATCAGTGCAAATCTCACTGGAATATTAGTTGTATATTCCATGACTGTACAAATAGATAGCGTTGCTGACTCATGCAAAAGTAACGCCTCTGAGCCTGATACACAACTTTTGTTAAACTCTCGTGCTTTACGCAACTTTTGAATCATTTATTCATCTAAAACAATTCATGAGACTTGCGAGACTATAAATCATTTCAGGGCCTTTGTACCTCATAGACTTTGCGCCTACTAAAATACATTAAATCTTAGCCAGTCAATATTTTCTCAATGGATTAGGTTTTTTTCACATAAATATAAGAAATGTTTATGCGTTAAAATAAGTATTGATATTTCTAAAATAAACATACCTATTCCAAGAGATTCTAAAGTTAGGTCCGAATTGCATGGAATAGGATCACCTTGTAAATCAATTAGCAGTTCCCCAGACTGGCAAAGAGAATATTATAAGCCATAAATCTTACCTTTGTGTTAAAAGCTTTGTGGCGAACTTTCAGCGCATCTTCAAAATAACACAGAAATTATAAAATGAACAATTGAAATAAATCCTTAAGATTGGTTGAAGTAAGAACATTGAAAGCGGCGACAACAGATGTTCGGATGTCAGTTAACTAAATACTATTAGGAGAGCTTAAAAATATATCGAAAATTCTCGAGAGGTCAGGTTTATTGCGTAACTCTGATTCTTATCCTGGTATTCTATAGTTAGGATACAACTAAGGACTTCTTTCAAAATGACATTAACTAACGCTAGAACATTAAAACAGCCAAGGTGGGACTGGGTTTCGCTCTTATTGAAACGAGTATAATAATTCACTGCGTTATCATAACCTTAGTACTTAGGATACGTAATACTATATCTTTCGAAACTGCCAAGCGGGTCGGGATAGTGCGTCAACACGGTGATGGATTCAAGAACTTATATTTGTCGTCATTGGGAAATAGAGAAAGTCAAGTTGCGTTTCATAGCACGACAAATACACCAATCAGATTACCAATAGATTAAAAAGCCTCTTAAAGCATAGATTTTTCTGAAATCAAACCAAATTAACTATGTCACTAGTGAATCAATGATTTGAAATGCCAGTGGGTTCTTAGTAGGTTTCTATTATGTGAGTTAAATGACTAGATATTAGCTTACCGTAACAAAGGTTCTTGAAAGGAGGAGGTATAGCGGAAGAGGTTTTTACTTCTAAACATGGATATATTTAAGTATATATAGTGTAATGTTTACCATGATGTATGCGGTCGAACAGGTCTTTTACAGTCGCTGACTGAGGAATGTTTGACAGAGGCAAGTAAGACGTTGTACGGTACTTGAATGAACGTATAAAAGTCACGGGAACAGTTATACTCTGGCTCATTTATGAGTTGAAGCTCCTAATATATCTGGAGAAAGATATGATATTGAGAATTTAGTGACAAGTGAGGGGCGACAATAACTATTAGTTGGTGTGGCGCATATGTACCTGGTGCCCTTTCGTACCAATATATATGTGTTTAAATAAATAAATAACTATATAGTTGAGTAACTTATCAAAATGTCGGGGAACACATTCCATGGTATACAGATTCCGAGCCACTACTACTTCGTGTCAGGTTTACATCAGTGGCACCGAAACATGCTTTTCTATCCAATAAACCTTGGTAATTATTTTAACTGAAAGAATAAACTGATGGACATAATGCTGCAACCTTTAATACCCCAATGTTAGCGAATCCTCAAGTGTTTTGAAGCTGATAACTTGCTTTGGGCCTATCTCACGGACGATAATGATTCTCACTTGAAGAACACAATAGAGTTTCCCAATTAACACATTCTGAAGAGCATTTAAGAACAAGTGTTGAGGACTTAAGATCTGACGGTATAGGTGCACTGCTGACATTACCAAAATTCATTGAGATAGTGTTGACTAAGGACGAACCACAGCAAAAGCTAGATCTCCAAAAAAAACTGCCAAACCAAGTACTAAATAACCAGATGACCCTAAAATCTTGGTTCACCACAGCCAACCAGGAGACAGCAAAGACTAGTAAATAAATTATGCCAGAATATTAGCTTTAGGACTCTCACATCATAGTCGCAGGATATTCATGATGAAATCCCTAACTCTGACCCATTTCCGAACCCTATATGCCTCATTAACCTGAGGCAATCGTCAAATCTAACATTAGCTCTGTGGAATAGTAGTTCATTATATCCTTGTCACCCTTTCCCTGATGGATTTAAAACAGATGACTACACGCAGTGTTGCGCGTGACTACCCGACGATAGCTGTCCTATGAGCTTTCTAGTCACGTCCTATGTTCAGCAAGACAACGCGAATTCGCCAAGTGTTAAAAAGAACAGTATCAGTTTAGTTAACCAGGACATTCAACCTTCTTGTACACCGCCAACAGTACTGCGATCCTTTATGGCTTAGTTTTTATTTCATTTGATTTATTTCTTCTCCGTTTACATTTTCTGACGCAAATCCTTACTTCATATTCTTATCTATACATCTCGTAAGATAAAACTATTCTCCAGGTGAAAGACTACACCTACTACTACTTCCGACTGTGTGTAGCGAAGCACCTGGTAGTTGCATCCCAGTATCATAAATTCCGAAATTGAACTACTCTCAGGAGCTTGGTAAATTTTAGCATTTTAAGTTTGATATTATTAGACTCAATCTACCGATTTGACAGATTTTGAACTGTAATATGATGTTATTGTAGCCTTTCTCGTTCCACCCACGTACATTAGCTTGTAGAAATATGGTAAAAATTGCAGATAATTAATTGGACAGTAAAGAAGTTCACCTCACTGAAAGAAGCCCGCCGTTTTGTTCCGCGACCTTGACCGCCTTTCTGTACTTCAATTGAAAAGGTTCTGTTGTGTCTGTTGTTTTTGTATGACGTTCTCATATTCAAGTCATATTTTGCTTAAGTGAAATTACAAAACTATTACGACAAACGTTAGTTAGACTTTGTTCATACTTTGGTTTACCTTGAAGATAGCACAGGTAGTGTAGTTTGACAACACTTTACCAGTAACACCTATGATCGAATCGCACCCACTCTGTGAAATCAAAAGTCAGAAGTGCGGGGGATTGGGAGATGGGTTATCAATATATCGAGAAGTGACTGATCTAAACTGGCTAATGATCGCACGCCGTCCCAAAACGTGATCTGCTAGGGATGCATGACCGTGCGCATTCAGCTAAATGAGTCCATTAAAACTAGTGTGGTCAGCATTTAATGTCGAACATTTAGAGAGCCATTGATTTTTGGGATATATCTACAGCTACAACCTGTTGCTTCGTAACCTTGTTTGCGACGTCAAGTTTTCAACTGAACCTCACCGTCTTTGTTTAAAAGTTGGTAAGGTCCAGAAAACAGTGTACTAATAATAACTAGAGAGTTCTAGATATGCGAACTTTGTGTGAATCTCTGAAGATTAGTCCGAAATGTCAAATGAACGTTAAACTTTAAGTTTAAGTAATACTTTCTTCAGTTAGCGAGGTATTGTTGCGTTGAATGACTTTTTAAATAATTACTCAACGCTGTATTCAGCGTTTCATGTTCGAGAGATATCTCAGTCGACAAGGAGAGGCGTTTCAACATATATTACTGAACGAGCGTCAATAGATAAAGTAGAAAAAATTGTTAAGTTGGTCACTTCTGTTCATATGAAGTCTATGGAAGGTTAACTCTCCACAGGTATGTATGATAACACAATAATTTCCATAGGTGAAGCATACAGTGTTTACGGATTCAGCGAAGCGAAAAATGCAGAGACAAAAAATTGTTGAAAAATATGGTGAGAGCTTCGCGATGCTAGTGGAGAGAAGAGCCGACAATTTCCCACTTCCCTTGTCTTGATTTCAACTGGGCGGTATCGAGTGTCTAAACTACCTAGACAGTTATTCTTCAGTCAAATCTTAGTTTGACTCTTACAGTAGACACCTATTAAACTGATTTATATACTTCAAGGATTGTTATTAAATCTGAGAAGTATACAGTTACAGGTTTCATAATACTGATATCAGATTACTATAAGCATACAATAAGAACAAATACAATTTGGATAGTAATTATAAGTATGCACTAGATCTCTGATCATGATTAATCCGTGGTTGGGAATTCTATTTCAAAGAACTCATTCTAGATCCCTATAACAGACGCATCATAAGTTAGTGTTGACTAAAAACAGTTCAGCTATCGTGTTCAAGACAAGCCTTATCTAAATTGTGAATGATGTGTGATTTGTCAATATGACACCAACAGCGATACTATGGTCAGTAGCTAAATATGTTCAGAAAGCGATCAGAAAGGCTATCGACGTCAGTTATTACTCATGTTATTTTTTCTCAGAATAGTACATAATGATATGTTGTTTCCATGAAAAATGATGACTATTGTAGTCGATAGTATTGTTTGTGTTTGCATACTCGAGACTTATATAATACTAGTAAATAGTTTAACGCAGAATAGCTTCAACTTGCATTTACCAAATGACTAGCAGACATCTTTGCTCGTCAACACTATATATGGTGGTAAATCAAATATTGAAGGTTGTGATAACTTGCATTTATTACAAATCTGAACATAATCCATTTCCGACTTCATAAATACTGTGCTGTAATGCTTGAGTTCAGGTTGATACGAATAAACACATTAAGTTGACTTCGCATCCCTCCAGATAACGGTCAACAACAACATCAAACTATAACTTACAGGAATGAAGTTATTAGGAAGCACAAAATTTACGAATGTTGACGTGAGATGGCCAGAACAATGTCCTCAGCTTAGAGATAGAAACACTGAAAATACTAGATAACTTGCATTAGAACCCTCAGCTTGATTTGTTTTCCTGTGTCGTAAGCCTCTAGATACCTTGTAGTTGGGACTCAAAAGATCAAAAAGATATTCAGGTGAAGGGATCAATAAGAATAACCTCACATTCAGAGGCCAGGCAGTATGTTACATCACAAAAGACTTTTTGAAAGAATTTCCATACACATACAAAGGAAATTTACAAAAAGGATCTTAGGTTGTCTCCGATAGATGCTGTTTGTGGACACCTCGGTAAACGGTCAACATATACTGAGGAAAAAAATTTCACCATTGATTCGCTTAAGACCTATGCCAGACTAAGGTGGACGTGGTCAGAACTTACATCAGGAGTTGAGAAATAACCTAAAAGACATTTGAATATAATCACTGTGGACTTTTGGGAGTTCACACAAGGGCGTCCCCTCTCCCGCAATAGACCGCCCAAATCGATCCACAGTGGACATGTTGATTTCTGTAACGTTAAGCCGATATAAGTCATTGAGCACTAATAGGACTATAACATCAATGTCCTGATGTCTGCTGGTATGTGTCGAATAGCGAGGTTTCATTTCCTGATTCAATATCTTCGGTTCGTAGTTTGAGGGATTTCGGTAACAGCTCGGGACAAAAGCCAATAACTGCTTTCTATAGCCTAACAAGTTTAGGAACGCCGATTCTTAGGAAAACAAATAGTCTACAAATACATTGTTTACACCAGCAATGTGTTATGTAACTATAGTAAGCTGCGAAGTATAGCCCAGCATGCAAAACTACTTAGGAGAATATGTGTCTGGTGGGGAGTTTGGTAGGAAAGCTAAACGTCCACATTGGCGAAATTTAGTGAATTTCCAGTCACCTAGAGAATTCTGTAATACATAGCTAATGGTCCCAGGCTGAAAGCGCTATATCTCGATTCAGTATCCTGTGCCTATCTCATGAAGAGTAAGGACCATCTTGCTTCCTAGAGTGCGGAAATACTAAGCGAAACAATATGTCCGGAAATTTCCATTAAGTGGGATGTGATTTGTGCTTTTTGAATGTTTACGGTAGTGTCATACTGTCGTTGCTATGAATTACGATTCCGTTAGGTTGGGTATGGGATTATCAGTGTAAGTTTTCGACGAGACCCTCTTAAACGTATGCGTACAAAAATGAGATCCTTAGATTCGTCGTCCATGAATCTTGGAAAATTTTGTAAGGCGTCCGATGAACTTTCACAGAAGGAGGACTTTGATAACGTTTATTTGCATTATCACTAGTCGTCTATGTTTGACTGTATGTTTTGACCAGATAGATTGTCGAAAATGTGGTCATATCTTTTAGTGCTCATTGTAAGGAAAAGGATGACGATTTTAAGTGATTTTTACGTTACGCCATAGTTGATCGCTATTTGGACATCAATACCAGTTCTCCATTTTGGGACTACACCCAACTAGAATGTGGTTGAACTGTTCTATGGCTTAAATGTTTACAAGTTTTCATGTCATTAGACGTGTTATTCACCAATCTCAGTTCTTCAGAATATGTTCAGAGTACTCACAGAAATGCTCAGCGTTCTGTTAGACTGGTATTTACTCCTTTGCCAAACCTTTTTAACTTGGGGGTTTCAAATAGTCGACCTTACGTTTCATTATAAAACTGGGTGCAGGTGAAGTGCGCTAAATAAGCATTTGAAACCCGAACATCTGATCAAGCCACAAGGAAAAAAAAAGAAATTTAGTAACCACAGAAAATAAAGAAGTAATTAATAAGATCATCAGATAGTTCTTAACTACATACCTTTGATTTACATACTAGCCTCATTTCAAAGTCAGCTTCTGTGAGGATTTAGTTTTAATCCGCTTAAAAACCTGCTACTTGGGCGATTGTAGAGGATACCACATCACTGCATTTTTATACAGTGTGTAGGGCCGAACATTAGTAGAAAGTGAATAATAAATACTACTATAGCACTCTGAAGATATATGTATCCATCACATACGCTCACTTTATTTATTTAGCAAACATCATTTCATCAAAACCTGCTACAAATAAGAGCAATTAAATGAACTGAGAGAAACTGAAGGGTTAAGCTACTACTTTCGAAGGATAGTTATATGCTAAAATGTACAGTTTAAGGTTTTCTTTTAATACAAGCTTTCGGTACTGAAGAAAATAGACGGAAGCCAACCGTGTAGACGTCTTGGTAACAAACATACATAAAAGCAATGCTCCACTGGAAAATAATAATGCAACTCCTCTGAGCGTCAGACTCAACTCTGCCAAGCATACAGCCTTGGGTGTGTTACAAATTCTGCCCTTTAACTTCGTTCGTAACTGCGGGTAGAAATGTCGTCAGTTGGCTAGGATGGAAAAAGGTATGTGCACGTTGTCAACATAGAAGACTAGAACTATAGACATAGATAGTCACTGTCTTAGTTTATGATGATAAAATTCATCTGTCAATCACCGTAAGTAATTGTTTTAATTCGAGCAAACTTTTAGTGTTTTCATATAGTCCAAGTATCTGCACCGGACCTTAGAGACTAGCATGGGAACAATAAGTTTTGCGCGTAGGGATTTTTTCTTTCTGTATCGTAGATCATTGCACAGGTCAGATAGCATAAGAAATGTCGAGTAGTAGGCCTTCTAGCTTTTTGTATGTTTGTGTTTCTAAGATACCGGAAATCATATTCAATAATTGTACAATAATAATTCTACAGCTAGTGACATTATTAGAGCATTATAAACCCATCACTTTTCGGTGTAGGCTTACTATGTGTATTATAGTATGGGACATAGTTTTCAAAGTCAACCAGAAACTAAGATACTGTTGTCATCCATGACATTTTGATCATATTGTTATCGCTAATAACTGATCCACATTGAAGAATGTAGCTATTAGGCTGCTTCTCAGTGTAATCTATCGTCTAAGTACGCGGATCCGGCTCCAGAAGCAGAAATTTCAAACGAGTGAAAGGACAGTACGTTCGTTTGCTAAACTTTCCCTTGCAGGTGGTATTCTCTGAATTGAAGTCATAGAAACATGAAAAATAAATACGTATACTTATGTCTACTTAGACAAAGTAATAGATATCCTAAAATGAATTACTTCCGAGGCCCACAGGCACTACAAGCCATTCTTGTGTTCCACAAAATATAAGCAGTAACACAGTGGCAAAGACTAATTTCAGAATTCGCAGAGTTATAATGAGAGTAAGCAATTCTTCGTATCGAAGATACGACTAGTCTCTCGTGGTCGAGAGACAGATCGCCTACGTGATACGCTTCTTCTCGCGGTTCTTGACCGTCTACGATCATTGCGAAATCGAAGGTAGCGTGTGAGAGTATGACATAATTCAGAGATGTCATTCGGTATCGTTTGAGGCTTTTCTTTGACTGAAAAGACCTCGGCACTAGTGGATTTGGTAATTTCTAGAATTCGGTCGGCAGATGCAGCTAGTTCGTCTACGGCGATGTTTTGGAACGGAACGAGCGCTGCCTGAACCTATATTGGGAGTTTGGATAAGAAAAGTTGTTTGAATAGGCCTTTGTCGAAGGTTCTTTGGTCTATCACTTCTCTTATCCTAAGCAACATATCTGTCCCAGAACCATAATGCAGGTCGATGTTATTGAGGAGTAGGTATAACCGTTGTCGGTTGGTTAGATCTCCACGTCTCAGAATCAAACGTTTTAGAGTTTCGTAAGGTTCCGAAACATCACCAGTAAACATACTAGGTGTTATGTATCTGTTAAATTCGCGCGGTAACGCCTTAACTGCCGCGAGGAATTGCGTGCGCGACTCCGTGATTCCGTGCCGGCGGAAGTCGGCTTCTGAGTAGCAGAACCAGGACTCGATATTGTCAAGCCAAAAAGGCGCTAACTGAATCGAAGTTGGGGTAATAGATTGTAACTTAAAGACCTTAGGTGTCTGTACCGTCATAGTATTATTAGAACGAGAAATATATAATTAAAATATATCCGAGGAAAGGTATATCACGATATATATAAATCAAATAAAGAAAAACAATTAATAATGAAATTCCAAAAAGGAACAGACCCACAGTTTATGCGCTTGGTGTACCAGATCACGTCAGGTTCACCACTGAATATACGATTAGTATTCTGATTTGACAACTAGGGACCGGAAAGACCTTCTATATTCGAAGTTTTCCCAACCAATCGAAATCAGAATTTGGACGAGAAGAGGTAGGAAAGATATATTTGATACGTTATCAATATATCGAGAAGCGTTTATTCTAGACTGGCTAGTGAACGTAGGAGCAGTGTCCCACGCTAAGTCAAAACATGATCTGGTACGGATGCATGACCGAACGCCTTCAGTTAAACAAGTCCACTTAAAACAATGTGGTCAGCATCCAATGTCGAACACTTAATGAGCTATTGATTTTGGGGAATTCTCCACAGCTACAGATCAATTACCCCTAGTGAGATAGTGATGCCCCTAAGACGTGACCAGCCAACGAGTTTGTCGTTGGTAAACACTCTTCTGATAGCTTGCTATGTTTAGCAGCGTCTGGTCGTCTTTCCTTACACTAAGGGACCATGAAGTACAACATAGTAATAAAGAAACAAAATACAATGAAAATTTCGGTTCCTTGTGAAACGTCGTCGTTCTTTTCCAGCCGTCCTAGAAAAGAGGAAAAGTAGAACGTGTGAGTGCATGTCAAAAATACGCTCGTACTCGCATAAGGAAACAAGATGAGCGGAAAAAAAATAAACGAATACATTTGCGACAGTGTAAAAGCGATTGTAAAAAATTCGGTTTTTTTTAATAAAAAAATATGTATACGCTAATAGGTAAACAAATATTTTATTTGTTTTTTTTGGAATAAATATATAAAATTGAGCATAGTTAATCAATTCTTTTTTTGTAATGAATAATGCAAAGGGAATTCGAGATGTGGTTTCTGTTCTACGTGCAATAGTCGTTTAAGTGTTCTGGAAATCTTACTCTCCTTCCAGAACGCGTTGTTTTAGGTTTATTTTCTGATGTTGACGAAGTGTCAAGGTGTGTGTCGGCTGTCGTATGGAGTACTACAAGTGTAGGAGCCGTGTCGTACGATTGTACTGAAGGAAATTCGACGTAGCTAGGGTTTCCTTCTAAGTACACTGCTTTGAGGCGATCGATACTGATGCTATCGTTCGTGCCGTTCTTATCGACTACATAGTACTTGGGTTCACGTTGAAGAATTACGAAGGGTCCTTCGCATGCTGATTAGAGTGGTCGCCGATGTGAGTCTCGACGAACGAAAATGTGTGTACTATGTCGTAAGTCAGGTTGAACGAAAACATCAGTTGATTGAGGTCGAGTGTGAGCAGGTTTAACTGAACGCATTGCGTTTGTAGCTCTGGAGCATCTGCAGTCAGTTTGAAGATTAAGAAATAACATAAGGATGATCCGTAATTTTACTTTGAGTATTCTGAATTATTTCTTTCACCAGAGAAATCGGTGCGTTGTGGATCCTGGTGATCGCCACAATGCGTTTGTAAACCTAAGCTGGGGTGTCGAAATTGTTGTTTTGCAAGGAAACAAGGTAAGGGATTACTTGTCGTGGAAACCAAAAGAAAAAGATATTTTTGAAGTCGCTATTAGAAGAATCATACCTAATGGCTTTTCCAATTTGTAGCAATATTTTTGTTACAAAATCAAGTCCTGACTTATATTGTGGAAATTTTTCTTTAATTTCTGTCGATCCGTTGGTTCTCCTCGCTAATGGTTATCTCTTCTAAGATTTCGTCAGATTCTGACATATCTCTGGTGAACATTAAAGATGTAAGGCACCTAGTAAACTCGCCCGATACATGGTTTATCTTGACAAGAAACATCAAACATGGGTTAATTGCACTATATTTGTGAAAGTCGGCCTCTGGATAACAAAATGAGGCTTCGATGTAATGAAAACAGAACGGGATGGGTTGAATCTAGCGGCATTCGGAGTGTTGACTGAAATAAGTTTGGGATTATGGTCAGATATGAGATTAAAATGTATAAATATGTGATAAAATTGGTGTTTGTCTTCGAAAAGAAGTTCATAACCAGGATGACAGGATAGAACTTCAGTCTGATGTAACCAGATTTCAAAGTTGAGCGGGCAATAAAGGATTCCTATCAAACTTTTCAGGACTCAAATAAATCCACTTGTGATATTCTGAGATCTATACATGCAGCTTAGTTCATTCCACTACAAAAGTGTCATTAATAAGGAAAAATCTTGGTGTATTTTTACCATGTGATTTAAAACTCTATAATAACAGTGAAAATAATGTCTTTTGGGAAGATTTTTAACTGGAAAATTTGAAGTTCATTTTAAGCTAGTTCAACTTGGACCTTCACACCTTTAATAGTTTTATTTCACCTTATATAGATTATGAAAGTAGACTTTTTACAAATTTTTTCATGGAGAATTTGAAAACTACAAAGCATATCCAACAGAAGGCCTCAGAATAAGTTCGATGACATAAATTCTCAGTTAATTAAGCACGCGACGCTCGTTAAGTATAATTTCCTCCCATTCCATATACAACCATTTGAACCTCTACGGGTTTTTGTAAAAGTCTAGCTTAGAGACTCGTTCTCGAACACTAAAATTCCGCTTTATATTCCTGTTTTATGTCTGTTAACTCATGCATCCATATGAATTGCCTGTTTATTTCTACCAGAAACGGTATCTGATTCAACAATACGAAAATAATTGCCAACCAAGTAATATTTTCGGATAAGCATAAACGATCCGAAAGATTTGAATGACTTCAGTTTGATTTTGTTCGACTTAGTTCTTCATTCTCTACTAAGCGGCCAGTTAACCTGTGACCTCGAAGACAGCTGGTTGTGTCGATATGCCTTCTGAACAGTTGCTCTGGGCTGTCAAAAATGGTGACTTGCAATCAATAAAAGAGAACATGAAAAATGTACGTGTTTGCAGTTATTTAATTATTACTTAGTGTTCTGGCGTTAATTCTACTTTTAAAAATGGAAGAACTCTAATTCACTATGCTGCTGACTATGGACAGAAAGAAATATGTGATTACCTCATACGAAATGGCGCAGATATCAATGTATGCCCCAGTTATCTTTTCCCTGATTCAAGGTCTGTAGGTTAATGACGGTTTTGGAGTCACACCTTTGCTTGCAGCCATATATGAGGGCCATATAGACTGCGTATCTTTGCTGCTCAACAATGTAACTCCTTATTGGCTCAATAAGTTTATTTTTCAGGGTGCAAAGCTGGGGCTAGCTCCAGATGGCTCGACGTATGTTGACTGTGCCACATCAGAAGATATAAGGAACATCTTGAGAAACTACTTTACTGTATGATACGAGATACACAAAATCTACACAATAGGTGCCTGAAAAATTTGTATTTTCGTTCCCAAAACCATCAGTTTATTGGCAAGACTGGACCTCCTCCAAGTTTCTCCAAATGCATGTATTACAGGCTACAAAATGATGGTTGCTTACGCACTTGCACGACAATTTGTTTTTCACTTCTGCTCTATGTTCACTTAATTTCCAAATATTGTCCATAAAACAGGGTATATTTCCTTCCTTTGTACACACCGTTTTTCGTGAGTTGTATGCTTTATTATGTATTAATTTGTCTAATAAACTTTTATTTTTAAGTTCTTAGTTTTTAAAACTTGGATTTCAATGTTTCTATGTACTCATTGTTTTATGCCTAAAAATCATGTTATGAAATTAACATTTGTATACTAGTGTTTGGTTTTTTGATTGTCAGGCTAGGTCAAAACAAGTACATTTATAGCATATTTTTACATTTTCCACAGGTTATTTATTATTATGATCATTTGATACATAGTAGATGTTTTATTACGGTTGATAAATTTATCCATTGAAAAACAATGGCGACTAAACCATTCAAGGCATCAATGATAAGATAAGTTGAAGCGTGATCTTGTTTTACATTCTCTAAGTCCAGTGTTGTTGCTTTGAGGCCTCCACAGAATTAAGACCTACATCTCGGCTTATCTCTAAACCGTTTGGTTCTGTAATCTATCAAACAATCTCTGAAGAATAATTGACAAAAACAGTAGCAGTAAGTACCAGACCCAGTATATTGGGGAAATGAACGTAATGTTCTGTGTTGGGGATCACTTTCTTTTATATTAGCACTAATACTATTACTACCTCGGGATTAGCTCTAACAACGTCTCGCTGCGCTAATGGAGTATGGAAACTTGAACCGGTGTGGATACTTACCAGGTTATATTTTGGGTTTGACTGACTGGTATCAGGGATCTTTAAAATTACATATTGATAACGAAGGCTGGAAGATAGATGGTGTAATTACATCTTTCTCAAATAATTTTGCAATGTATTTAGTTTTCATTTGACAGGGTAAGTTCGAGATGTTGTCTATAGGTTTTTTGACAATCATTCGTTTCAGTGATTACTGTCGATGCTCTTAGTTTCCTTGGTAAACTTCTATATTTGTCAATAACATCGTAAATAAATCATAGAGCTATGTCCTTTATTCCTCTGATTTGTAAGCAGTTTGAAATTATGCGTACTTTGTCTCTAAAAGCTCCAATAAACTCATGCTCATTGTAATGTGTAGACTTTAGATAAATATGCACCTTAGTGGAGTAAAGATTTTCAGTGATACATATATTAATCATGATCTACTATCTAAAGTGTGCAAATATGCCAAGCTTTCGGCATTAAAAATTAGCCTTAAAGTTTATTTCTTGGCTATAGAGTCACTCGAAATAACTATTTAGAGTACATATTTACATATTCACAGTTAGAGCCTCATAATGCTAACATAAGATAGTTGGTTGTTCAGAGATAATAGTATCGATAACTGTCCGGTTTTTCCAATTCATAAAGTAACATATCTTTTTAGATAATTAGAAAATCTTGTTTTTTGATTCTAGTTGCTTTTCTTAAGTTTAAGTATTGTTCTTTCACTTATTCTTTGTATTAAAACTATTTCCACTATTAATCGGCCAGTGCCTTGAAAAATATTTTACTTCCATTGAAACAGATAATAATATTGCTGACAAACAAAAATTAAACCATGTCTACTAGTGGTGTTCGGTTCTGCCTTACAGTCCCAAAGTCTTTAAAACATCCAGAGTATTCTGATAATATCTATCAAATACGTGTTGTTCATAGACTAGCTGAATGTCTTAAAACTTCCATTATGGAAAATCGCCTAATGTCAACTTTTATTCCTACTGACAGACAGATTAACACTGAATGTGATGACCAGCCAGTATTTGCATCTTGTTGTACAATTGATGAAACATCAACAACTGATGATTTTAATAGTTGTGGTCATTCTACACACTTTGTTCTGATATATATACCGAAGTTGTGGCTTAAACAATGTGCATCATTACTAAGACCGGATTTATCAATCGATAAACAAGGTTAGTTCTCATTTAGTGTCATTCAATAAAGAAATAAATCCATAGTTGAATGTTCTAAAACTTTGTACCTTTTCAGAACCGTCATGTCAATTTTTGTTTCATGTACCACTTTAAACTACACGAAGGATGAAATAATCCTACTCACTGCCTTCTCGTGGCGGGGTGTTGTTCACAAAAGTGAGAGGACGAAAAGCGAATGTCCGGCGCCGGCTTAGCCGGGTTGGTGGACATGGAGGGTCCACCTAGGGGAGTTGGAAAACCCCTATTCCAAACCAATGGTGCACACGGGCTCCAGTATCCTGATGGAACGAATGGCGTATGAACCTATTGTTGGTCACCGGCTACCATGTGACTGCATCTCCTCACGATGCTCCACTGCCTTGTAGATCAGACCTTTAGGTCAAAGGCTCGGGGTGTGGCCCCTTAAGAAAACCACCTGCTTCAGTTTGGGCACCTGAGCAGTATCACAGCCCTCACACAAATCGAATGAGATTTGTGAGGCGCATATGTATCTGGTGCTTTTTGTACCAATATTTATGTGTTTAAATAAATAAAATAAATATTAAATATGTCATTCTCAAAACCTTACATTTATTGATATTCGAATGATTTATTTAAGTTGAGGTATAACAGATAATTTATTTGAACATATGAATATTTTATTTATTTAAGCACATAGATATTGATACAAAGGGGAGCCAAATACATATGCTCCGCACAAATGTCATTTGATTTGTGCAAGGGCTGTGATACTGCCCGGGTTCCCAAACCAAAGCAGGTGGTTTTCTCAGGGGACCACACTCGGAGCCTCTGACCTAAAGGTCTGACCCACAAGGCAGTGGAGCATCGTGAGGAGATGCAGTTCCATGGTAGCCGGTCACCAACGATTGATTCATACGTCATTTGTTCCCTCAGGATACTGGAGCCCATGTGCACCATTGGTTTGGAATCAGGGTTTTCCAACTCCCCTAGGGGGACTTTCCGTGTCCACCAACCCGGTTAAAGCGCCGGATATTCGCTTTTCGTCGTCTCAATTTCGTAGACAACACCCCGCCACGAGAAGGCAGTGATTAGGACATCTCTGGCAGAGGCTATATACGCGTGGCCATGTGAGAGCATTTGGAGAGGGAGGGCGAACTCTCCCCACTCTCGGCCATACCAGGGCATTTGGGTGCACCAAATACGTAGTCGATAAAGAATTAATGAAATTAAATCCATTTATCTCATTCTACAAATCTTGTTATGATTAGATTGATTAAATGTATGATGATGACCTACCTCAAACTCATGAGTGAACAAAGAAATTATTCATATCATTGCAGCTATTTTACAGAAGTATCAATTAGTGACTCCAAATTTCGATTTCCTTTATATTTCTCAATTAGAATCGGGAAGTCAATCGTTCGTTCCATGAAATTGAAATCAACAGTCAATGAAATTTTGGTCGCTACCATGTACATGCCTAGCTTCTATCATCCTTTACTAAATGTCCTTCGTTATACTTTGTATTAATAAAGGATTCTGAATTTATGATCGATCTATTTAAGAGATAATATCCAGGTTTTTAACTATTCACCTGTGAATCCATAAAAGAAAATATTTTTCGTAGATTCTTACGGCATGTAGCAATTTTTTGTTCCAGTAGCTTAGATTTTAATAGGATAGGGAGTGAAGTAGTCGGGCGCGTCGAAAACGTCACTTATCTCGGAAGTCTGATCAGTCCTAATGGGTTGGTGTCTGAGAAAATCTCTATACGGATTCAAAAAGCTCTTTTGGCTCTCACCAACTTACGTCACCTATGGCGAAGGCGAGATATTCGTCTATCAATTAAGGGACGAGTATACTGCTCAGAAGTTCGTTCTGTTCTACTTTACGTCTGTGAAACGTGGCCATTAACTGTAGAAGATACTGGTATTTTGTCACAGATGTCTTAGAAACATTGCTCACATCTGCTGGGATAACCGGCTAAGTGATGGTGAGGTTAGACACAGGGCATTAGGAAATGATGGTAAATCAGTTGATGAGGTCATGAATCTTCATCGACTTAGATGGTTAGGCCACGTGTTACGTATGCCTGAACACCGATTACAACGACGCGCAATGCTGAGTAGTATAGAGGATGGTTGGAAGAGAGTTGGGGCGGCCAAACCAAAACATGGTATCAGTGCTTTAAGTCACTAACTTCCAGTCTGCGCCATGTTGGTATGTGCAGACTACTTGGTTGGGGTCTGCGTGACTATCGTGACCACAATGGTTGGAGACTGCGCGACATGACTCAAAATCGATCACAATGGCGTAGGTGTATACACTCTTTATCTTCCCTTAAACCGTGAGATTAAATTACTTTATATGGTTTTTTCTACGAACTAATTTTTTCTTCCTGTATCATATCCTCATATGCAATTTTTCTTTTATATATTACTACCATTGAAGTAACTACTTCTATAAAGTTGGTGTTCATCTTGTTGTGTTAATGAGTTGTGGCAAGTTGGACCGATGTATATATGTACCTGGTCTTACGTTGTAGCTGACTGACTGAGATTTTAGCATGGAGTTCCAGCAAAACGTGAATGTTTCGCGTTCTAATGTTCATATTATATTGCTAATATGATAAACATTATTTTCAGGAATTATCAATAATGTTACTCAGTTTGCTAGTTGATTAATTTTTATTCTGCTCTTATACGTATTCTGTAACCCGTAGAACAATTGTTGAATATCTGTTCAAAAGTGAAACTGGTGCACATACGTTTAGATGTAGACGATTTGTTGAATAGTCCTGTGAATTTTAATTATGTAATTGATGTATTATACCCGTCTTCGGATGTAAGGTTTATCAAAAGCTTTGATGTTTCAAAAATCATGTATCTTATCGAACCCCTAATTTATTTATAAATGAGTTTATTATGAGCGGTGAAATGTGCTTAAAGTTTTCCAATCAGTCACTAATAAACAAGACAAAACCTGGTGCATATTTTTATCAGCCGAAGTTCTCACTCTTTGTATCAACGCAATAAGAGGAAATGAATAATGTAGAAACAATGTTACCAACTGTAGTAGAAAACTAAATACGGAAAACTCACTTTAAAGGTAAGATTGAATTTCAGGGGTACAACGTATTGAAATCCTGAACATATGAATTAATACTGGACTCAAGAATTGTCTCCAGTCATAGATTAGCCAAATTTCTGTCAAGGTGTTTACACTTTCCGGGACAGTTCAGACTAACAGTTAGTGATTTCATTAAGTGATCTCATTTCTTGGGGTGGGAACCTTGGATTGATTTCCTTTGTTCATTTTTAAAAGCTAACTACAGTCCCACCGGATATTTACACAGAAAAGTCTTACTGTCTTAAACACCGAAGTTCTAATTCTTTGTACAGCTTTAAGTTCCCACGTTGTCCATTCCCGTTTACCAATCGAGTTAAAAAAAGTTTAAACTGAATCCATATGTAAAGGTATCAGTATGTCAGCCATAACACTTTCATCTTGGCTTCCAGATAGTTTTATAAGTTTGTCCACTTGTAAATATAATAAAAAAAAGTGTTTATTCTATTATTATCAAAACCTTTACGACTACCATTAACTTTTTAAAGAAATAATTTCCAAAAATACCGAAAATTCTTAACTAGTCTTTAATTTTTTATTAAACCATTTTAGTTACTTTCCTTTTTATCTTTTTCTATTTGCACCTTGTAGAACTCAATAATTGTATTCAAAAGTTAACCGGTGGGCAAACAGCTTGGCTTGCCGAACTCGCTATTCGTAGTTTAGTTTTGTCTAAGGCACAAATTGAAAATCTTGTATATGATCTGGGTTTGCCCATAAATCTGATTGCTGATATTGATGAGTATATTTTATCAAATCGTCCTGCTTTATTCATCTTAGAGTGTTTAGGACTAATATCTAATTTTACTAGAAGTCATGATAAAATGGAAAGACGATCTATATGGACCGATCATTTCTCCACTTTAAATGTATTTCCAAATTCTGAAAAATTACGTCAGTATTTTGGTGATTCAGTTGGATTTTATTTTGTTTGGATGAAGTCATATTGTGTTTATTTAACTTGTCCGTTGATCGCTGGTTTATTGTGTCAAGTGTTCAACGTACTAAATGGTCAACATTCTGAAGATAAGCACGTATCACTAGGAATTCATTTATTCTATACTGTTTTTATGATATTATGGGCTGTTATCTGTACTAAACTGTGGCAACGTGAGTATATTTCTTGTGTCGATCGATGGTCTGGCAATGCCTTAATTGAATTAGCAGCAAATGATTTAACATGGCTGTTTAACTTTATTGATCAGAGACCAACTTTTCATGGAACTTGGAGACAAAGTCGCGTTACTGGTTTGATGGAATTGCACTATCCCGCTGCTAAACGTCGATTACGTTATATGGTATCCGGCCTCATTACATTAGCATGTTTGTCATGGGCTATATTTGTAAATATCGCCTTATTGAATATGGAAGTAAGTCATTTTATCATTACGCAGAATGCTTCAATAGAGTTATTTACTTGTTATACAGGCACAGTTGAGGTGAACCTAACCGGATGAATCTTTAACTCGTCCACCAAACCGTTGCCCACATCCTATATAAATGGATTCCAGAAGACGGAAGCTTTATTCAAGTGAATGGATGCATTATCAAGGAATTACAGCTGTCATTTATACACCTAATGTTAAGTCATTGAAGATCATTTATTCTATGAAAATTAAGATTTAAATAAATGAAAGCTCAAATTTTTAACTTGGAACTGTTCTGACATTTAAAACAACAACTACTGGTTGATAGTTCCAATGGGAGCAATGTGGCACATTATAATTTAGATACATTTAACGAATGTAAATTGGGATGGGATGTGCTGCTTAGATTTCACTAATAACCTATACAGTGTCATTATAGTTTATTTAAATATAATGGACTTAGTATAGTTGAATTTTTGCTATCAATTGAACCCAGGACACAATCCTTTCAGGATTTACATACCCTATTACAAAATTGGTCAGTTGCAGTCAATATCAACAACTACAAAATATAAACCTATACATATAATTAAAATAACGGATAGTTTAAAATATTTTTTTTCTCTCAGGTAAACTATGATAATATGTTATACGATTATGAGACTAGTCACGTTATATCAGATCCAGGATTCACCACCCAGAATAGAAAACCAGATAAACACTAGATAATAATCTATTCAACACAGTTACAAGCAGTCAAATTCAATGAGTCTGGAGTAGAAATCAATAGCAGGATATCACTTATTTAATAATCAATAAGCTAAATGTCTGTTTGTCCATGCTCACCAACCAATCATACTTTCACTACCACAACAATAATAAATATCTTGATTCGTCTCTGAAGTTTCAGTATTAGACACAAATATATTATTAGTATATTTCACAAATTGTGTAATCTACAGTCAACCAGAGAGAAGTAGCCCGTTCAGAATTTCTAATAGGATTTATTGGATAGACGTCTTTTAATCTTTTGAGATTTAAAATCTCTGAATGTTTTCGGTGAAGTGAATTAATGCTCAATTCTTTTCGTCCAGTCAATCTTCTTTTGAAGTATTCAACATCCATCTTTAAAGTCCACGAAGATACCGTGTTTCTTCATAATTCTATACACTAATATTTTTTTAAAGTTGATCTGTTTTAAAGATTTATTTGATGTAATTCACAATGAAACGATTCTATTTCTTGGATAAGCTTTTAGGCATTATTTCTAGTAATCACATAGTCACTATCACAGTATGATCAAACTGCTCCGTTTAGCGTAGTTACATAATCATAGGCGAAATAACCTTCTATCTATTAAAAAGAGAGTAGTCTGCCCAGCATTTTGATCTGTTTTATTTTATAGCTGTGAAACATTTTCCAATGCAGAGGAGATAAATGGGTTAGTAGTATTTGATTATAGATGTCTTCGAAAGTGTTCACACATGGTAGAACAATCAAATGATTATTGTTGAATTTGGGATGTAAGGTATTAGGTAAAAAGAACGAAAACTATTTGTGAATCCTCATTAACTGACAAACTTGTTGAAATATATAATTATGTTATAGTTTGAATCGTTTTCATTATTCACTATATATTCCTAATCTAATAAGTAATTCGTAGTCCTACTATTTTATTTGCATCTTTTATGTTTTGCTTTGTTTTATTAAGATAATTTCATCATTTTAATAGTAGTTGTTATTTAAAACATAATGCTTTATTTGATCAAAATTGATATGTCCGGTTATCTCAGCATTACATTCACCTGTTCGTCAATTATCTCAACATTTTATTGTAACAATAACTTTGCGGCTTTTTCAGCAATTACTAAAATTATTCACACTGCTTGTGATCAAATATTTCCATAAGCTAGTTTCTACTTCTAAAGTTTTTTAATCAGATGGCTGAAACAAATAGTCTGACATAGCGGTGGATTAGTTTCAAACTTTTAAAGCTGAAACAGAGAATAAGGTATTAACATAAATTATTTGACAGGTAATAAATAAAGTTCAGTATTTAATGATTGGAAACAATCTTGAGGAGTGTCTGAATACAGGTTTCATGTTAGTTAGCATTCATTACGAAGGTGTGTTTCCATTTCTGGAGAAACTGATGTTTTCTGTCGGATTCAGATTCGAAGTATACAGGAATGTTTAGCAGCATTGTAAGTTGATATATAGATATCAATCAGCAGTAAAGGTTATTGCATATTGTTGAACACAAGCTGGTTATAGTGACATTTTCCTATTCCGAGAATTTTCACTAAGTAAACCTATGATATTATATAGTTTAAACAATCAAATCATCGTTTTGTATTGTTTCTTAACGTAATCACTGTAAATTTTTGAGAGCGTTATCATACGTACTTTAACTCGCATTTGACATCAGAAAAGATATTGACCAGACAATGAAGTTAGTAGTGCTCTAAAACATCCCTTAACATTTTTTAATTTTTTTAACTAAAATGTACAGTGTATTTTGTTTTTTTATTGCCTTCATCATCATATCAAAATATTATTGTCTTTTAATGATTGATTGATACTTATTATATTTATCTTATGTAGATAAACAAGAAAGTTGCTTTATTACTATATTTTTGTGTGTATTATTCATTTCAGTCATCATTAGATTTGATTATCTTTTTATTTATGTAAATTATATAGTAATTGATTACGTAATAGCCCAGAAATAATTCTAAACTTTCAGCATATAAGCAAAGATGAATAGCCGCTAGCAGTGGAATCCAGGACGAGCGTTTCCTCCTATTTGGGACTCGTCAGTTGGATGTACCTTCATCTCAGAGTTGATATTCACTCTGGAACTCGACTCCAGTATCGTTCACCTCAAACACCATTACGTTATCCACTTAGCTACTAAGTCTTGATAGCTATTTGCTTGTGCAATGAGGTGGAGTTATAAATTTCAATAAATAAAAAGAAAATTAATTATATTTTGATAGTTTTACTACATACAAACTAATTCCAAGTATATTTTGATAGTAATACTATATCAGTCAGTCGCAGCGTAGAACTTCGTACGTACGTACATCAGTTCGAGTTGTCATACCACATTAGCACAGAGATTCAGCTGTCAATTCAAATCCCATAGTGGTAGAAGTAGTAAGAGTATAAGCAGTTATCGGAAAGATTAAGGTTTGAAGATGTTATTGAAGAAGAATAATACAGTTAAATAAATTTGGAAAAAGAAAAAGATAGAGACAAGAGGAATTCAGAAGATTAGAATTTGGTAGAACACAAAGAGTGGATGCACCTTCGCCATCGCAAACGATTTTGAGCCGTGTCATTCAAGGTCTCTAACCATCGATTGCTATCATCTCGCGAATCCCAACCAGGTAGTCTACACCTATCACGTTTTGGTCTGGCCGCCCCTAGCTTTCTTCCAACCTACTCCTACACCATGAAACATTGCACGTTAGGGCAGTCGGTGATTGGGCATACGTAACACGTGTCCCAGTCATCTCAACTGATGAAGTTTCACTACTTCATCAATCGACTTGCCATCCTTACCTAGTACCCGTTTCCTAACAACTGCATTACTTACCCGGTGGTCCCAGGATATACGAGCAATGCTTCGAAGACACCTGTGATCAAATACTAGTAGCCTACGAATATCCTCTACTCTTATCGGCAATGTTTCACTGTCATAAAGTGGGACGGAACAAACTGCTGCACAGTAAACACGTCCTATCTATTTCTAAACTAATGCACACCCAGTCTTGTTTCTAAACCTCTTCTAAATATTAATTAGTTATTTAAAATATTCTGCGACATAGCATAGATATTTCTTCAATATTGTGAATACATATACCAAACTGATGATCTAGATATGTTTAAATAATACGACTAACCTCAATAAATTGAAAAATTCTTGCATATTTAAAAGTAGTTTTTTACCAAAGAATGATATTTTAAAATTAAACATTGAAAATCGTGGATAATTAAAAAAGATGTTCAGACTTATTCTTGGCATCTAAAGCAATAAACATACATGATCCGATTTGGAAATTAAATACTTGTGACTTTAAGTTTAACAAAACTCAATATAATTTGACTTACTCTCCAATGTTATGTATGTTATCTTTTTTCCGTAGAACATTCAATTAGTTAACTGTTTTAGGTAGATAATTTGAAAATTTTAATGAATAGTTAATTAAGTAACGTGAATAACTATTTGTCTCTTAATTTGCTTACTATTGATTTATTATGGTATTTTGAACAATTTCTCATCATTTCAGTGTATAATACATACGTACTGCTTGAATATTATACAATACTGAAGAAAGTTTTAAGATATAAGTATTATTCACATAAACTTTTATGCATATAATATTACTCTATTCAGACTTGTTAAAGAAACCAGTATTAGGAACCCAAGTATCAGTGAAAATATCTCAGACAAAGATGGGCATATCATTCATTTTCAATCCAGGAAATTGGATCGATGGGCAAAACACTTTAAGGATCAGTTCAACTGGCCTTCAGCCATACTTCAGTTACCCACGATCCCCAGTCGTCCTGAATCGAAAATTGATGTAAGTTCTCCAACTCCCTACGAGATTGAAAAAGCTATAGAAAATCTGAAGCGAGGGAGAACCACAGGCCCTGACAGGTTTACCTCTGAGATTTTTAAGGATGGTGGTCCAGTACTGGCAGCGAGATTGACTTAGGTCTTAGGTAGAATCTGGGAACTGGACGTAATTCCATCTGACTGGTCCCAATCACTGATTGTGCCAGTCTATAAGAAAGGACAAAAGTCCTCCTGTGGCAATCACAGAGGGATCAGTTTGACTAATATAGTGTCTAAAATATTTGCTTCAATAATGCTAGGACGCCTAACCAAAGCTCGTGAAGAGCAGACTAGAGAAAACCAGGCTGGTTTTCGACCTGGACGTGGTTGCATAGACCAGATATTCACTCTACGTCAGGTCCTAGAACATAGACATACATTCAGACGTCCCACAATAGTAGTATTTCTTGACCTTAAGGCGGCATTCGACTCAGTTGATCGAGAAGTTCTATGGCAGTTTGTCACTGAAAGGAGTACCAGAGAAGTACATTAACCTCATAAAGGCTCTCTACTCGAACACAACTGGTCGAGTTAGTGCCTATGGCGAACTGTCATCAGAATTGATTACCTCAAGTGGTGTTCGTCAGGGCTGTCCACTCTCCCCATTCTTGTTTAACTTTGTCATTGGCACACTTTTAGAGATAGCACTTTCATCAGCTAAACCTCCAGGAGTAGAACTTTTACCGGGAGGCTCACTTGTTGACTTAGAATACGCCGACGACATAGTTTTATTCGGTGAAGACTCTGACAAAATGCAGAGTCTTCTGACCACTATAAGCAACTATGCAGGCATGTTCGGAATGCGATTCTCTCCATCGAAGTTCAAAATGTTACTTCAGGATTGGGTTGCAGCGACACCTGAACTAATGATAGGGAGTGAAGTACTTGAGCGTGTTGACAGCTTCACTTATCTTGGGAGTCTCATCAGCCCTTGTGGTCTGGTGTGTGACGAAATCTCAGAACGGATACAGAAGGCTCGTATAGCTTTCGCCAACTTGCGTCATTTATGGCGTAGGCGAGATATCCGTCTAGCAACCAAAGGACGTGTTTACTGTGCAGCAGTTCGTTCCGTCCCACTTTATGACAGTGAAACATTGCCGATAAGAGTAGAGGATATTCGTAGGCTACTAGTATTTGATCACAGGTGTCTTCGAAGCATTGCTCGTATATCCTGGGACCACCGGGTAAGTAATGCAGTTGTTAGGAAACGGGTACTAGGTAAGGATGGCAAGTCGATTGATGAAGTAGTGAAACTTCATCAGTTGAGATGACTGGGACACGTGTTACGTATGCCCAATCACCGACTGCCCTAACGTGCAATGTTTCATGGTGTAGGAGTAGGTTGGAAGAAAGCTAGGGGCGGCCAGACCAAAACGTGATAGGTGTAGACTACCTGGTTGGGATTCGCGAGATGATAGCAATCGATGGTTAGAGACCTTGAATGACACGGCTCAAAATCGTTTGCGATGGCGAAGGTGCATCCACTCTTTGTGTTCTACCAAATTCTAATCTTCTGAATTCCTCTTGTCTCTATCTTTTTCTTTTTCCAAATTTATTTAACTGTATTATTCTTCTTCAATAACATCTTCAAACCTTAATCTTTCCGATAACTGCTTATACTCTTACTACTTCTACCACTATGGGATTTGAATTGACAGCTGAATCTCTGTGCTAATGTGGTATGACAACTCGAACTGATGTACGTACGTACGAAGTTCTACGTTGTAACTGACTGACAACAGATATTAAATATTTAGCGCAGACAATTGTTTATACATACTTTTACATTTTTGATGATGGTTGTGGTAGTTCTCTAATTTTTAGCTCTGTACAAAAAAAATGTCCTGACGTTCGTATTGAGGATTCTTACTTTAATGTTGATTGAAAGTAGTTTTGAGTTCCATATGTTCTTCATTTGTAGGAATGCTACCCTTACTTTGCCAATCCTTTCCTTCACATCTGTATCAGATTCTTCTTGTTCATCGACGATGATGCTCATGTACACGGAAGTTTCCACCTCTTCCAGAGTTTCTCCATCAAATGTGATTAAGTTGATGTTCTACGTGTTGTATTTGAAGATGTTGCTTTTTCCCTTGTGTCTGGTGAGTTCTACTAATGCAGAGGCTGCTGCTACACTGGCTATCTTCACTTGCGTTTTGCTGTTGTTGATGGGATAGAAGGGTCAAGTCATCTGTGAAGTCCAAGTAGTCAAGTTGCATCCAAGCTATTCATTGTAAACCTTACTTCATTCGAGATATGGTTTTCATAATCCAGTCAACAACCAGAAGAAAAAGGGATAGAGTAGGCAGCCTTGTCTGACTCCGGTCCTTACTGGAAATGCGTCTGTCAGCTGTCCTCCATGCACGACTTTGCAGTGTAGTCCGTCGTATGAGTTCCGTATATTGTCGACTATTATCTGAGATACACCATAGTGTCAAATAAGATTCCATTAGGTTCTCCTATTCACACTGTCAAACGCCTTCTCATAGTCAAGGAAGTTGATGTATAGTGATGAGTTCCATTCAGTTGATTGTTCAATGATGATCTGTAGTATTAAAATTTGGTCTGTGCATGACCGATCCTTACGGAATCCCTCCTGTTGATCTTGAAGCTAGACATCCACTGAATCTTTCATCCGGTTCAATAAAATTCTGTTGAAAACTCATCCTGGTACTGATAGTAGTGTGATTCTTCTTTAGTTCTCACAATTCCTGAGATCTTTCTTTGGTAACCTGATGAGGTGTCCTTTTATCCAATCTATCTGCACTTGTTCTTCCTCCCAAATCTTCCTGAATGGAACTTGTAGCATGTTTGCAGTTACTTCCATATATGACTTCAGTGCTTCAGGTGGTCCGTTGTCTGGTCCGACTGCTCCTGTGCCACTCTTGATTTGTCTAATGACCATCCTGATTCCCTCGATTGTTGGTAGAATGAAATCAATAGAAAGGTCTACGTGTACTTCTTTCCTTAAACATATTCTTACGGATAACTAGGATCTCAGAGGTTCAACGATGATTTAATGTCTAAAGCACTTAGATATCAACACAATAAATCTGAGGTTTGAACCTCACTCCACCTACTTAGGTTTGGAACTCCTGTTGTCGTCACTAGCCCTCAAAAAAATTATACAACCTATGCTTGGTAAGTCATTTTTATCGTTTTAAGTGGTAAAGTTGCTTCCAAATAATAGGACTGTCCTGTTAGTATGATTGATTCCTTAATCGCAGTATAAGTATAGTACTTGAAACATTGTTTGTTCAGGTTAAAGCTTTTCACAAAATCGTATAGCTAATTACTGCTGAATAAAACATAGTTATTGACTAGTTTCTTAAAGATAATAAAGGTGTCGGATTATAGCTCATTTTTCTTATTTTACTATCATTTTTCATCTTTTATCTCCTCACATCTGTATCATCACTTGGATATTTTGTTATTGTACTGTCTAATTGTGTCCAACGAGATAAATCAGCACATTTTGATACTGAATTTAGTTAACTTAATTTCGTTGGCTTTAATTCTATGGTAAAAGATAAACATTTCAATACAACCTGTATGATGTTGAACTCATGAAAATTTTTCTACACTTCCATACATCCATATTTCATTCTCTTCTCTCTTAACTGTTGTTAACATTATCTTCCTCTCACTTCTTTTCTCACAGGGTTTTATCGTAGCAGAAAAGTCGCCATGGTTTCATATAGGATTAGTAAGTCAATTCGCTGAACCTGATGCAATATTTGATCCGAACGCCAATGGAATATTATCATATATTCCTGGTGTTTTACACTCTTTAATGGTTTTCGTTATGAATCAAATGATTTTTCGTGTTATTGCTGAACATCTAACTGAATGGGAAAATCATTGTGTTAGTTATAATTCATTATTCTTGTTATTTTCATTTTTATGGAGTAATTATAATGAGGTATACAGATTAAACAATGATATGTTTTTATGGCTAAAATTTTAAGTCTCATATATCTCTGTGAAAACAAACAAATCAGCATGCAGATTTTGTTAGTTGACTTGATTTCAGTTTTGTTATTCAACGGTCTAGATTGAAGTACTCCAACTTAATGAGTCACCATTTCAAATTTAATGATGTCTACGAGCCACATGGACTAGAGATCATTACAGAGATCTAACTGTCAATTTGTTGAAAAAATGCAGATAAATATCAGTCATACATACAAGACGCCATATCAAGTTCAATAGGGTCTGTATAACGTTTCGGAACACCTCAACCTACTCCGGTTAATTAGGAGCATAAAAACCAGTGAAGCTGGGCAGATGCAACATACTGCCAATGTGAAGAAGTTAATTGATTTAGCAGTCTTTGGAAAGTATAACTAGTAACCAGAACCGTATTGCCGGAGAAAAGATATATAGGGTTGGTGGTATAGCTATAGGGAATCTTCACAAATGCCCCAAACTTTGAGTGGCAAAACTTAAGGAACATTTCGTCTGATTCACAGCTCCACCAACGTTAGATATATTATTCTGTTCTTATTCACAGGTGATTAATGATGAGTCTAAGGAAGCAGTTATCCAATAGAATTTTCTACAGAGTTTCGTTATCCAGGAAACCAAATTCCAGCTCTAATCAAGGATCAGAAATTCCGTAATTTAAGAAGTTACTGAACTGTTTGGAGAGATCTGGTAAACTCAGTGTTTTTCATCCTTTTAGAAACCGGTTGTCATTCTCATTTTTAAAATACGACCAGCATAATTCTCGAGGGATACGTCTATTACTACTTCCGTATAAGTTTCACAAAGTCTCGAAAAGATCTGGGCGGTTTTCGTTGGGATCATCAGTGTTTTGATCACGTCTTTGTGTCGAATGTTTAATTACCATTGTAGGTATTTCAGGCTAATGATCTCCGTGTCCCTTGACACTAGCGTGCCTCCTCTTCTTTCGACAAAACTTCTCCAAGATTCTCTATTGAAGGAGGGTGTGATTGAGAAATTTACTACTATCTTTTCAGATCTTTACAAAGATATCCCAGACGTACGGGTACACAAGCGCATCTCTTTACTGCTCCGAACAAAACTTATTTAGATAGGATTGCCCAATTTATCTGTCAATAAGTTCTGATGACGTTTCTTGAGTGAATCCCTGGTGTTAGTGTATATCTGGTATCAGGAGATAGTCTTTTCGATTTCAACTATATAATCATTATTGTATTACAGTAAAGTGACATGCAGGCCACGGAAATCGTATTAAATGAGTAGGCGATGTGCTCCCCGATGCATATGATGTGGTTTGCATTATAACGATGCAAATTGCTTCTGCAAGACCGGGGCCTGCTCATTAATCATCTTTTGCAATGAGGCGTTGGAACTAGTCTAGAGATTCGTATGCCTTGTTAGATGTTGTTTTCGGTGGCCATATTCCAGATGAGGATAAGGTCTGAGGGCGTGTATTAGTACACAGCAATTAATAATTCTCGATGCGTTACAATCTTGATACATACTTTTTGATGAATTATTTGTGCTTAAAGCAAGTCCTTTAAGTTGTACATTGTTTTGCAACTCCGATCGACTGCAGAAGGTGAGAAAAATCAGGTTACAACATTTCAACATGGAATAAAGAATGGTGTTAGATTGAGATTCGTTGATTAACCAGGTCCCATTTGATCAAATTTTTAAGATCGTACAGCTTATTTGCTTACAATTTTTCTGAACATGCTCAGCACATAAATAAATGTGTAATCTCCAACAGTTTTTTTTGTTCCATACTTTAAGTAGTAAGATGCTTTTCCTAACCGACTGAAATTTGTCTTGGCTCCCATCTTAGACTGTATTATTTAATGCTTGCTATCCTTGCTTTTTTTTAAAAAAATTTGTGATTACGTAAGTTCATATAGTCTAATTTTTCCCAATATTATAATTTCTAACACACTAATTGATACGTTTTGTTGATTGAACGCTATACTCGGATCCTAAGCTAGTCTTGTACCCCCAAGCTAGAACTACACAGCGATTTGAACACGATAGAAAAGACACAAGATATGCCGGAAGCACTTTACTCCAAATGTTCATTTATGTACATAAAATATAGGGTTTTTATAGAAATTCAAAAGTCCTTGGGTTATCTTGAAAATTCTTAATACTACTAAACATAGTAGTAGTGTAATAATTAGTCAATCAGAAACTCTACATGTGACTTTTCATTTTCGCGATGTTTCTAGCAAAACTTCTAATCAAACGCTGATTGAATAAAATGCTCCTTAATGTTTCCTGAGCTTCTCCTGTCTATTGCGAGAAATTTACAGGATCACCACTAATAAATTATTTGCTATAGATTAATCTGTTTTAATTTCACATTCATCTTAGATTGAAAGTGGACTTTCTAGCTATCGAAATAATATCAACCAACCAATATGTTGTCAATAATTATTAGTTGGCGCGATAAAAAAAATTAAATTCACTTATATTTTCAACATAGTAACTATTTTAAAATAAGAAATATTATATTCATCTGTTTGCTTTTTTCCCCTTTTTTTGTAGACAAATAAAGATTATGAACATTCATTGATTATAAAACGTTTCTTATTTGAATTGGTTGATGCTTATGGTGGTTTAGCTTATTTAGGCTTTATTTTAGCTGATCGTTCGGCATTACGTTCACTTTTATTAACAATGTTTGCTACTGATTCAATAAGACGTTTAACACTTGAATGTATTATACCATACATAGTTTATCGATTTCGTGCATGGAAAGAAAAACAATCAATTGGTTTAATTAAACGTAATCAAAACAGTGAGAAGCCTGTATATCAAATACGTGTTGAACGTGAATTATGCGCAGATATTTATGAATCATTTGATGATTATTTAGAAATGGTTTTACAACATGGTTATCTTGTATTATTCGCTTATGCATCACCATTATTTATTGCAATTTTAGCTATATTATGTACATTTCTTGAAATACATTTTGATGTATTCAAATTATTTTGGGTAACACAATGTCCTAAATCGAATTTATTACTTAGAGGACAATCTATATGGTTATTGCTATTAGGTATACAAGCTTGGTTATCTGTATTAACTAATGCTGGTTTATTAATATCAGAAATTCATCGATTAGAAATGTTAACTGATGTCACAGCAAGCACTATATTTTTAATATTTGAACATTGTCTTATATTCATTGCTTTGTGTATACACTTTTTAATATCTGACATACCAGTTACTGTACGAGATGCTAGATTAGCTCGAGATTTCGCTAGAGCACGTTTGCTGAATCCTAAAAAAGATAATTAATCACATGAAGATAGTGCACATGAATGTACGTATTACATAATTCACAAAGTTTAAAAGATCGTAATGTGATATATAAGTAAATGTTTTAGCTCTTTTCACCTACTCACATTTATTAGTATTTTTTTGAATAAGTTTTATCTTGCTTAATATACTTTATATTTTTACTACATGAGATAGTGAATTTTGTAGACTTTCGTTTATACTCACCAAATATACCCAGTACTTTTCTTTTCAATGAATTGTTATTGAATGATATTTTGAACGTTTATCCATAAAAATCAATACAAAATATTTTCTTTCCAATTATCATCCAATGCATTGAAAACCAGTCACTTTTGATCCTAAGTTAGGGTTAGTTAGAGAACGGTCAAAATCTCAGTAGCATTTGTCAACTGTTTCTTCTTAATCTTAAATATCTCAAAATTATGCACGTCATACGATGTTGAGTTGTAAACTTGTAGATCTCTCACAAAGCATGTTACATTTAGACCACTAAGCTGGAGTCCATCATCTTACATCTTTGACTTCAACCAATCAACTTAAAACAAACCACTTGTTCATGTTTAAAGTCTTGGAGACGTTAGGTCCCCAGAACTCACTTGCAAAGGTCCTAATTTCGTTATTTTACTCTGAAAATTCGAATTTTGTGTTTTCGCACCAAGAGACGTTTAGTTGACCTACATCTTACATTTCCCGCTCGCAAATCCTTGACTGTCATTTGTTGACGGATTTTGTTTAGTACGCTCTTTTGTGACTCTCCCAAGAGCGTTTCTATCATTGTATAAATAAGCTTGATTTGTGTGCTCACTGACCTCGTATTTTCTGGGTGCTTGTAGAATACATTCTCTAAGCCTCATCAAGACTTCTTGATCTAGTTATCAGGGGCGGGGACAACGGATTAGAATAGCCTATCGTGTCACTGTGTCATTGACTTTCGCTCCGTTTACCGAGTAAGGTGAACTCGTAATAGCACCAAGCATATAATAAAGGACAAACCATTTGAGGAGCACCGGTGGTTGTAATTAATTTCCCTATGTATTCAAATCTCTCCAAAATTAAAAGTGACTAAATAGTTTGCATATTTTTCGATGACAGAGATTTTAGTACTTTTTACATATATTATAATAGCTCAATTCGTTGGCAAAATCACTGAAGTTACAAAGCTGTTAATTACCTCATAGATACATTTTCTGAAGAATCAGTCACAAATCGATTGAATCAAGATATTATTACGGCTGTATATCTGTCATATTCAAGAGGTCTAACCAAGATGATATCACTTATCCATCAGTTAACAAATCATCAACCAACGAGCGAAATGCAGACTAAAAGCTAACAAATATTTCTCGCTTATATCTGTCCTCAGATTATCATGACAGTAGTTAATGGAACGTACATTAGTTCCCGTTTTTCATATATCATATCTAATTAACCTGATCACTTCGAATTAAATTTGTTTGGATACACTCCATTAATAAATTGTATTTTAGGTTGAAGATCTACACGCGCATTGTTGGCTTCAATGTTCCACCATTGTGAAAGAATTCATTGGTTATGATTTTTCGTTACTCTACGTTGCTTTAAACCAATTCTGCTTTCTCTTCTCTCTCTAAAACTCACGTACTCAAGTAAATATAGTTAGAAATTGTCTAATACAAAAGCCTTATATTCCTATATGTTATTCTTTCTTTCATATGTGTTGCTGACTAGATGTTTATTTTCACTTGTGGTTCTCTGTATTCTAGTTCGTTTCCCATTTTATTGACGAAGTCTGTTCCAATGTTAAAGATACTATGCTATATACAATTAGGGAATTTGAAAACATCAAATATAACTTCCTATATTCCCTTGCAAATGTTTTCGTTATATTTATCGAAATTGTTTGCATGACGAAAACTGATAAAACTCCACTTGAACTTCATGCTATCAGATATATAACCTATAACCTACATAACCTATCGTGATTCATAACAAGATATAATTTTATTTTTACTACATATTGAATAAAACAACATGTATTGAAATTATTGTCTGATAGAATCCTTGTACTATAAAGCTTGAAACATATAGTGAACTCTCCAGCCTATTTCACAACCATTTAATCTTCTTACAATGAATTTGGCTTAATTACTCTGACGACTATCAAATACACTTTGCATTGTTCGCTGCAAGTGGCGAAGATACTTAACATTTTGATATCGTGTTCATTTCTAATTCCACAATCAGGTGATTGTAATACGTTTATGCAACGAATAGTGAATGGAGAATAACAAGTATTATTACATTTGGCAGTTTCTTGGAGCGATAGAAGTGAAAGATTTAACAAGTTGGAAACACACAAAGATATGTACGAGTTACTTAGCGAAATAACTAGATAAGTGTCAATAAGATTAGTTTTCACCGATACGACTGCACAAGCATGGGGTAACGACGAACACTGATAAACGTCAGTTAACAAATAAGTTCGTGTAGTTTCCTGATCAACTGGAAAGCACTCAGGGTGTTACACCGATTCCATGGGTTAGTAGAAGCCGTTCAAAATTATTACAAACACTACCACTCGAATAATAAATAATCCACGAATCTTGAACACATTGAATCGCATTGTTAGTGATCGCATTAAATTAGTCGAAACAATCTAGAACGTGATAGATTTTTACACTCTATTTGAAGCCTGAGCATAATTATACTGTTTATCATACACAGATTCGTGGTCAATCAATCTCAAAGTTTTCTTGAGCGATTCCCAATTTTGTCATTTTGGAGGAGTCTAGTCATTAGATAAAATAGGTATTTATTAATGACAACTGCTAACTACGAAATTTTATAAATGTTAGTTCCGCTATACGCAAACTATGCCTTGAAGACACCATCGTTTAAAAATGCATCACTTACCATTTTGGCTCAACTTGAGTGAGTAAAGATTAAGATTCATAAAATAGGACAATCAACTCTGTCATATTCTAGGTGAAAACTCTTAAAACACCAAATCCATGAGAATAGTGAACACTATAACAGATGTTCTTCAGTACTAAGTACCAAGTTAGTTAAGTATTCCACGGACACAACATTTGCTAATATAAATTAATCTACATTTCTTTGAAAGCTCTATTATTTACGACATGGTCAATATTCTAGTATACCATCACAAACAAGCAAAAACTTAACTTAGTATAAGTTTTATTAAATGCTTATACTCTTTATAACAATCGATGGCTTGATTAGTTGCTAACATTACTTAGTTGATTCCGTCACGGCATTTAGATCTCTTTTCATTAGACCGTAAACGGTAACCAGAAAATCCTAACACTTAATTGTATTATTTTTCTTAAAGCTAATTATTTTCTAAATGCTACTGTCAAGCGACGTGTATTAGAGGGATTTGGTAGAGATTTTCTAATTAACATTTGTAGTTGACGAAAGTATTCTGAAGGTGTTTCCAACTAATATGAACGTAAAGACAGGTGAATAAGTCACAAGTCATACAAAGAAACGATGAACTTAGAGTTGAGAATATTGAAATCGCTTTGAAAATTTTTCCAAGTTAGAAGGTATGACGAACCGAAGAATAACAATTATACATGTTATTTAGGAGATACGAACTAATGTAGAATACATGAGAACTGGCCAAATAAAAGTCTGTCAAAATTTGTATATAATCAATGTGCTGAAGGTTGTCTAGTGTCACGCATTGAAAGCATAGAATGGAAACACGTACTATCAAACTGACTGTTGTTTCCAAATATCATCCTAGCATAATTATTCGCAATCTGGATATACGGTTTCAAATTTCCTCATACTTCAATGAACGAAATATTTGAATACAAGTGGTAGTCAATATGGACATGTTAAACTCACGCAGTTGTTCTGGAATACAAGATCTGACCAAGCATACGACTGTCAAATATATTAGTTCGGTTCTATTGCGACTAATTATGATAGTATATGTATTACGGCACACCTTTGTTTGTTTGTCTGTTTATCTATTAATCTTGTTCTCTTATTCCTTTAACCTATCAATATTCGAAACACACTGAGTAATTGGCACTTCTGGACACAATTCCTATTTGACCAGTCTAATTCAATGCTGGTTTTATTTCATTCTACTACAGTTCCGAGATATTTCAATCCTACTACAATTTGTGGACATTCTAGTTCGAGTGTTCTTGTAATTCCAATGCTACTCCCGGATAGTCTTACTCTAATTATGTCTGATGTCCATTCATTCCCTTAACACTTGAATTCTTTTTGCTACTACTGTAAAAGTCGGCTAACTTAATTAATTAAACACACAATCGGTAATATTGAAATTCGAATTCTCACGCAATCCATTCATTTTTGGTTTTCGAGATAAGTAATGCGAATACAACAATACTTTTCAAGTTACGATATCCTATCAGAAGTTTTCCATACATGTGAACAAATGAAACAATACTTCAAAACAGATATTTTGAATTCTTCATTCAACTAAATAGAAGCATTTTACAAATACATAGTATATAAAACAGGGTAGAGAAGGATCAGTGGAAATGAAGTTGGAAGTTAACAGATCAATAAGACAGATAACTGAATACATAAATTACATACAACAATCCATATCATGTATCAATTCAGAGCATTATGAAACACTCAAAGTGAAAAACTGTCTAGAAAGAAATGTAAAATCAATGTGATAACCACTTCTCACTTCATTCCATCGTACACGAAACACGTCGTCACAACCATCAACAACAATAAATTGTCGTAATTAACTATATGATGAGTAGTCTGAAATCAGTCACAACATGACACTCGCACCTATACACACTGTTAAGTCGGACAAAATCCATGAAATGACATTATGATGATCACTTCTCAAATGATCGGTTCAAACACCAATCATTCAATCATCACAATCAAGATGAAATGACTGGTAATTATTGTCAAGTTGAGAAGTGAGATGGCAGTGAACCGGATTTGCAGTGTTTTCTAAGCATGGTCGATGTGTAATCGATCAGTTT